AGGCGTGCATCATATTGATCACTGCTATACCCATGTTCTATTCTTTTGGGACTTTAATCTATGCAGTGTTTTATCAATGTATTCAACTTGCAATCTGTGAAATTTGCATTAATAATTTATGAATACATTCTAGAATGATACAAGCCATTCTTTTGGAATGGTCATAATACAAGTCATTCTTCTGGAATGATCTATAATGCAAGTCATTCTTCTAGAATGGTCCTTTGCATGACATCCTTATTGAATGGCCTTATCTCCCCATTTGGTTACCTTTAAGGATGTCGTAAAAAATATCAAAATATGAGTACAAGCATGAAATAACACAAGTATTGCTTACATCCTTAGGTGGGAGAAACTTTGCTCAAATATCATTCAAGCTCGTATCGGCTCAGCAAATACAATGTAATGCTTGATGATCTAGTTATATCTTGTAAGAGCAAAAATCATAATTCTTCCATCTTTGTAAAAAAAAAAAAAAAACCCTCATTGTTAGGTTCACTACATGGATTTGTTCTTCATATGTTCGTTCTAAAGAAACAAAATCCTTTATGAGCAGAGAGTTGTAAAAAGAAAGAAAAGATAAAAGAATTGTGATATTGATTGCAAGGTAGGTAAGAAATCAGGGAAGGAACTAGTGAGGTAACAAACAACAAACTCTCACTTCTCCTAGCTTCGAAAAACTTCGGGAGATTAGAGCTTGTGGTTGTCCTTACAGTTCCTTGATCTAGCTGAAACGTGATCAGGATAGTCTCATTTCCCGAATGGATGATCAAAGATAGTCTCGCTTCTCAAGCACATCGAGCGCTCACTGATAGGAAAAACAAGTGGATATTGCATCACTAGATATGGAGAAAGCTGGAGAAAACTAGATGTATTCTGCAAAGAAAATTTCGTTAGTAACATATTTATACACAAATTAGAGGAACAGTTTGATCCGGTGAATCTCAAATTAACTATGGAAATTTGTGTGGTTCTCAAGATGCTTCTTAAAAAGTAACTTCATGAAATCCGCAAAGCAAGATTGGCTTTGACGAAAATAGTCCTTGAGAACCCTTAAAGTGTTGACAGACATTAATAGAGGCTATGTGAAGTTTTAGAATCTGGAAAAGAAAAAGGAAATATGGGGATCCGAGAAAATATTGAGATCCTAGAAACAAGGCCTGATTTGAGTAACTGCGTTTCAACTCTACATCATTTCATTTTCTGAAAATTCATATTTTCTACTAATTTCCTCGAAACCCTTTTAAAATGGCTTCCTCCTTCTTCTCCTCCCAAACATCTCGATTTAAATGTTGCTCCCAAAACTACTCGTGATGCCAAAATTTGGCGTCCATCCTTTGTATTCCAAAATCTTCATCTCACAGTTAATGATTCTGTGATGATGAATGATACGACTGTTGTCATAGTAGCTACGAATTTCCTTACTCCTATGGATGAAATAATGTTAACAGGAAGGTTTAACGAAGAGGCTATTGATGACCCAATGGCTTTTAGCATTCAGAGTGTTGCTTCTGTTTCTAACATGGCTGATCGTTTGCATGCCAGAGCAAACGAGATTCAAGAGTTGAACACTGAAAATTTGTCTCTTCAGAGAATGCTTCATGAGTCTCAACAAGAGGTTGAGAAACTTAAAGAGGAAAATAAGGCCTTGTTCAAACTGGTGAGTTCATACTCCATTGATACGCGGACAAGGCTTGACATGCTGCAGATTTCCAATGAAAAGATTATGGGAGACCACGAGAGGTTCATGGCTAAGCTTAAGAGGTGCCATCCTCTTCCTTCAGAGGCTTCCAGAACATAATGGAATTCTATAGATTTAAAAGAGCCTGCTTTTTCCTTGCAGGTGAAAATAATCTATCTGTTATATGCTCCTTTCATGTTATAATAATTGGGTAAATTCTTAGACTTGCACCTATGGTTTTTACGTGTTTTCAAAACAACAGTTTGGAACCTTGTGCCTTATAGGTTCACATAACGACATCAAATTTCTCAAATTACATATTTCAATGCATGTCAGTCCGGAACTTCTGGCTCGGGTTAAACACGACTTCAAAATTTATTTGCCTTTTTCAAATGGGCATAAAATATAAATTGAGTAAAAGCCATGATAATATTGCAATATAGTAATGAAGAGCATTAACTACTATATACCTAATACTTCATATTTGGGATCTCTCATATACTTCAGGTTCTAAATATTGTCAGATTTTAAACTTCAGGCCAAAATCTCATATTTTCATGGTATTGTCCATGTTTGGAGGAGATTCTGGCTTCTCATTTAATTGCTCATTCATAAGTTTAAGGAACTGCAGGTTCCCTTTTGTATATAGTGACGGTTTACCCAAAATGGTTAATATTTAGGGAAATAAGGCTTCATGCCACCAGTTTTTTAATTTTAACTGGAAATACCACTTTTTCCCACATAATTGTCCATGTTTTGAGGAGATTTTTGCTTCTCATTTAATTGCTCATCTATGAGTTTAAGGAACTGTAGGTACCCTTTTGTATATAGTGACGGTTTACCCAAAATGGCTAATATTTAGGGAAATAGCGCTTCATGACACCAGTTTTTTAATTTTCACTGGAAATACCACTTTTCCCACAAATTTTGCAAATATCACCTATAAATATATATTTATTGTCCGCTTATTGCACATATAACACTTTTTCTGAAATTTAATTTTCTCTCTTAGCTCTCTCTTGGCTTTGTCTCTCTTTGTCGCTTAGCTCTCAATCTCTTTTCGCTTAGCTCTCACTCTCTCTTCACTCTTTCTCTATCACTATGCTCTCGTTCTCTCTTGTGCAGCTATCTCTCTCTCTCTCTCTCCTCTCTCTCTCTCTCTCTCTCTCTCTCTCTCTCTCGTGCTCTCTATCTCTCTGACGCAGTGCTCTTCCTCCCCCAATGGTGTTTGTTCATCGAAGCTCAACTCCATTCTTCACCTCCAAAAGGTACTGTTCATTGTCATTTTCTTAGGGGTTAGGGGTTTCTCTGAAGTTGGTTTAGGGTTTCTGGGTTTCTATGAAATTGGTTTAGGGGTTTCTTCAAAATTGGGTTAGGGTTTAGGGGTTTCTCTGAAATTGGTTAGAGGTTTCTCTTAAATTGGTTTAGGGTTTAGGGGTTTTTCTGAAATTTTCTGATTCTGATGATTCCGTGTTTGAAATAGTGAATGGGTTTGTTCTTTGTGGATAGATTCTTGCATTTGATTTGGGATTCGCTTTACTGCTGTTGTTTTGTTGTTGTTATTGATGTTGTATTGCTGTTTTTTTGTTGTTGTATTGTGATTTTAGTGGTGTTGTATTGGCATTGTAGTGCAGTTGTATCGCTAGTTTATTGTGGTGTTATTTCCATTCCATTATGGTTTTAATAGTTTTGGCGATTTATTGCTAGTTTATGTGTTTCTTTGTTGTTTTGTTTCATCTAAATAAAGGAAATTGTAGGTGTTCATTTATAGTCTCTACATTAGCCACATGAATCTTTATAGTTTGTTTTGCAATTGCAGTAGCTTTTTGATGTCTGTAGTTTGTACATAAATATCCGTTTATTCTACTATGCAGGCCGAGTCCATAAATCTTCTTTCGATGTTCCATCTGTACTGTATTTCATTTGTTCTCTTTTTATGACATACATGTATATCGGTATGGTGATGAGTAGATTGTAGGAAGCATTGATGCTGTTGGGCTAGTTCTTCTAGCCTTTGCTCTTAAACCGTGTATGAAGTTGATCCTTGGGTTATGAAATCACTTTGACAGTTGGGTGGTGTTTGGTTTATGGATGGAATGTAATCCATATTTAGTAAAATGGAATGTAGATAAGAGTGAAGTGTGGAGAGAGTTTGAGAGTAGATAAGAAACTGAAATTAGGTTAAAAATGCAATTGGTATTATTTCACATTTCAAGGGATTGACAGTTGATGGGAATGGTCATTTCACTCCACAGTTTAATCCAATAAAGCAAACACTGTCTTATACGTGGCATTATAAATGAAAGTGGTGTATCAAATGGGATTTGTGGCATTTTTTAGGAAGCCTTGTGGAGAGAAAATATAAAAGCAACACTTGTGGAGAGAAAATATAAACCTTGAAGGTACAATGAATTCGTATTTTTTTTTGTCATGGGACAGGTTGGTGAACATACATGCATTGCATATTAGGTTCTATTGCTCCTCTATTGTACTTTTATCATGATATATCTCGTTCCTATTGCTTCTATCTGCCTCTGTATTGTGTGTTTATTGCTTTGATATTGTGTATATTTCAACAGCCTGAAATTATTTGTATAATGTTGGTGTGCAAGGAAATATGGTTTCTAAAGTAAAGTTGATGATTGATGAGGATGAAAAGTTCTAGGGAAAGGCATTGTCCATTTCCCATACAAAGACCGCCATCGGTACAATTAAGGAGAAATTGAGTCTGCAACAGTTACAAAGGTTCCAAGATAGTTGTTTTGGTCATCTATTACTGATTGAAGACCTTAAGTGGACAGCACAAATTGTCCACGGGTTGTTGTTGAGGAAGGCTAAATTTGAAGACAATTTCCCAGGTGAACGGGATAAAATTCATTGTTGGCAATAAGGTGATACAATTCACAACGCAACAGTTTTGCGTCATCAAGGGGCTAAGGTTCGGAAACCTTCCTTTCATTCCGATTGCAACTAACGAAAACTACTCATTGAAAAAGAAAAACTTCTACAACAATAAAATTGTCACCCTTTCCGAACTAGAAAAAGCCTTCATTGACTGCACTGATGAGGAGGATGTCTTAAAGCATGGATTTCTATATTTTGTTGTTTTTGTGCTGTTGGGTAGTGAAAAACATGTATTGACATGTGTTATTTGAAATTATTGGAGGACCTTGAAGAGTTTCCAAAGTATCCATGGGGCGTTGTTTCATATGCGAAGACAAATGCCTCACTTGTGAGGGGACTTTGTGCAAATTACCATCGAGTAAAAGTGTCCTAAAAAACTACAAAAACCAAAAAATCTGAAAAGAAATCAAAGACAATGGCAAGTGGTAGACCAAGAGAGTACCACATAAAAGGTTTGGTCTTTTGAGGTGTTTCCAACATTGGATATATTGCATTTTGTTTTCCATGAAGAGAATGGCCACATCCTGGTATACTATAATGGATGAGCAAAACTTTGGCTCGTTTTCACGAGATAATGAGCCAAGTATTCGAAAACTGTGAGGTTAGTTAAGTTCATAATGATTATGTTACGCATGTGAAAAAATAATAAGTTTACTGATATGTATAAATTGTAGGTTGATGTGCAACTTCTCCACCCAACTAATTGACAAGCAATAGCCCTATTGGACTTGGGGAGACATGATGAAAACACTGAAGAAATTGTTGAATTGTTTGTCGATGAGGCCGAAGAAAATACCAGCACTTCTGTTGAAGAAAAAGATGACGAAGTTGACGAAACAGCTACCCTTCCCTCGTCTTCTAAGGTGAGCATGACATTTTTGCAATATATAGGTCACAATAAAATTAATGGCGCTGCTGTATAATCAGTATATAGTCAATATATAGGCAATACGATAGCAAAACAGTAGCAATATTTGGGTTATATTTTGTAAGTATTGTAACAGTTACATTATAACTGTATGCAAGATAAACTCTCGTCGATTGAGTTACGCACTTTGAAGCATGAGTTTCGAACCACAAAGGATGAATTGGCAAAGGTAGCCAGTTCAAATCGAGCGCTTAGAAAGAGAGTGCGTGACTTGGAAGAGATGGTACAGAAGGAATCTTTGAAACATGAGAAAGAGTGTCAACAAAATAAAAAGTGTGAGGAGGATTTCAACAAGACCCTCGCTTCAATGGAACACTATTTTAAGCTGGAGATAAAGGAGTTGAAAAAACGAAATGGTGGGTTGAATGAACATGATGAAGGACATGACGAAGTCGATAGTCCTCATATCAATGAAGGAGGCAACAATGACATGTCGCCTTTACATGAATATATTACTCCAACTACAGAATCGGTAGAAATGGAAGCACCAGTCCCCCGTGATGGAGCCGAAACCTTCACAGCCATGGATGTCCAAAAGGTAGAAATGGGCACTTTAGTTATTGACAAACAAGTGCAACAAGAAACTGAGTAGCCAAAAGCTGAGAAGATTCCTACTCCGAAAGATGTGGACGGTTGCGGAGTAATCTACTAAAAACTGTTACCTTTGTTAGAGGATTGTAAAAAGAACGACATTAAGGCATTGGGAAGTTAGAGGAATCCTCCCATCATAACCAATGTTAAGGTGGCTTGTGATGAAGTGATTAAGGAAGGTAGTGTCACTATTGAAAAACAAGAAGCAAAAGGTAAAGGGTGCAAAAGAAGAAGACGATTACTGTTTCGAATGAGGAGGCAACCCCGCCATGTTTTTATCCAACAAAGTGTCCATTGACGATGTCAAGACAATAATGTAGTTTTGCACTACTTAGAAAACCGATTTAAGGTTAGGATTTTTAACCTTGGAAATCCAATATCCATATTGTTGTAGTATGCAGTGGTCTACTAATACGGAAAAGACAACTCTCTCATCCTTTGGTGTTTGGAACCGACTGGACAATTGCAAATTATTGTTTGCAGGTAAAAATGTGAACATCTTAAATTCACTTCTTCGGTTGCATTGGTTCGTCATTATGTAATGTGCCTTAAATTCAATGTTTGCAGCAATTTTTAGAGCCGGTGAAACCGCCTACAAAGAAATGAGCATCGAAGAAAGCAGCTGCTCCAAATACCGTTGACCTTCCACCTTGTGCACGGTACATGGCAACATGGTTATGCGCAAACATGGATCACGGTCCAGAAGGTGTATTTCTTGTATAATCTTCAAATGTGCCATTGGGTGGCAGTAGAAATCAACTTCATGAGACATATTGCGATTGTGTATGACTCCTATATTGCTTTTACCTCAATTTCCAAGCTAGGCAAATATCTTGAGCCTATTAGCAATACTCTGGCACGGGTGTTGTACGATATGCGCTTTTATGACACTTCTAAGGTTGAAGAGGTATAGCAAAAGGGGATGAAGATGTCTAAGTTTACGCCATTTACAATTTGCAACATTGGAGATGTGCTGCAACAATGTGATGGGTAAGTTATGTTAATTTAGTTGAGTTAATCGATATTGTAAATAAGTGCAGTTCTAATTTCTGAACTTATTGGGCCCACAGTTCCTCTTGCGGAATCATGACAGTCAAATTCATTGAGCATCTTAGTGCCGGCATTTGTTTGGATCACCTATTATCGACTTAAGCTTGCAATAGAGGCTTTTAGGGGGGAGGCGTATATATGAGGTAAGGGTGACAATGTTTCTCAAATGAATTTAGTCTTCACTTTTCACTTGGGAATTCAGTCTAAATTTAATTTTTTCAGTTTATCCTTTATATGAATATGCAGACATGGACGCTCTGGTGGCGCAGCAATGTGAAATCATTTACAGGGTCTGCGGCCATGTTGTACATGGTGATATGTAATATTGTACAGTTGGTAGCAGTAGCTAATTGCCTTACATGGCACATAAATTGTATCCCTTTTGTAGACATGGCAGATAAACTGTATCCATTTTGTAGACATGGCAGATAAATTGTACTCATTTTGGAGTAGGACTATGCATCAATTTTCATTTTATGAAACGAAATTGGGTAGTACGTCTAATTAATATCACTAGGGATGTACTTCTGATTCGGTTTTCAAATTGTTCTTTTGTTTTGGAGTTGTCGTCGTCGTTAGCATACCTATTCTTTAGACTGTTTAGTTGAGCTATTTCATCCACCTCGATATATAAACAGATCTATCCTTACTCCTTATGGAGGTATAACAGTGGCCCGTCATTGTTATGCAATATATAGACAATATAAGGTTACAATAGCAGTAACAACCCGGTCCTTAATTAATATTTAATTATTAATTTATTCCAATAAAAGATACCCCTAGAATATTTTAATGATTTAAAAGTTGACTTTTTGACCGGGAAGGAATTTGGGATTTCAGTTATACCGTTGTGTAGAGCGCGACGAAATGAGTCCGTAGACACGTATTGGGCTCGAATCGGAATTATAATGGAGAAGTTACGATCAAAATACTTCAAGGGGCAAAACGGTAATTTGGAAAGTCAGAGTTTTTTAAAAACCCCTCTCTCTTTGGTTCGACAAAACCCTCCCCCCCCCATATTTTCTTCAGCTCAGTCGGTGGCTTCCAAGAGCCACCGTTGCCACCACAGGCCACGGTGGGCCACGAGATCGGACCCAAACGGACGGCCACCCCCTCCTCTTCCCTTCCCGATCGATCTCAGCCCATGGGACCACCGGAGATTGCCGGAATTGCCATAGAATGGCCTATTTTTGACAGATTTTCTCTAGCTTCGTTCAAACGATTTCGGGCACTAATTCGGACGAGTGAGGTATGGATTTCTAACTATTTTTCATGCTCTAGCTGCTGGTTAGGTAGGATTTCAGAGATTTCAAGCGTAGATCGTTCGATTGTTTAAGTTTGGTTTCAGCAGATTTTCGGGTCACTGTTTCGGCCACTTCCGGCCAGTTTTTGGGGTAAGTTCAAGAACAAAAGAGGCTACAAATAGGGTGTTACACCTAGGGTAGGAACCTTGAGCCGTGATTCGGAGTTTTTACGATGAAGCGTTATTGCTTTAGACACCACGCGCTGCTGGCGCGTGTGGCAGCACGTGGGCAGCAGCGTCGGGACCACAGTTAGTCCTAGAATAATCTCCTAGTCCCCACGAGAGCATAGGATTTCGCGGATCTTAATTCGGATACCGTTTGAACCCCGAACGGATCTCGCCTAGTGTGTGAGTTCCGGGTTCAGCAAGTTTGAGCCGTTGGATCGTAGTCGTGTTCTGGTATGTTGATCTAGGTAATTTCAGGATCGTATAGCGGAGTCTCGGATACTCCAGAAATGTCAACCCTAGAGTGAGGTTTATAGTAAAACAAACCAATTACAGGTCAGGAATAGAGGAAAGAACTACGTGTGGCTTGATCCCTCGGTAAGGATACGTAGACAGCCTACAGTTATCAGGGGCAGCCACGAGTTAGGGGCTCAGGGTTTATGTTACTGTTTTCAGGGCATTTTGGTCTTTTACGACCCACGGTTACCAGGTGTCAGTTTTAAACAGGATTCGGCCTGGATTTCAAAGTGGAATTTGGGTCGGGTCGTTTCAATTGGTATTAGAGCATTAGGTTAACTTCCTGTAGACTTTGCATTACTTGTGCATCCTTATTTTCAGAATTGCTGGACTGTTATTTTGTTATTTTACCTCATTGGCGTGGGTGAGTAAACAGGTATCCAGAAGGGTTGGAAAAATTTGTTGAGGTTTTTATTTGAAAAACGTGTTATGCATGTTTATATATACATACTTGTATGTCGAGAACTGAGGTTTAGCAAGTTGAGCATTTGATTATCTGTTTATTCATCACCTATTTATACTTGCTCATATGATTAATTGTGTTAGAAGAGTATAAATATGATATTGGAATAGCAGAGAGCAAGGTGGTTAATTAACTAGTTAAGTAGTTGATGCATATATTTGGTGGTTGAAAAGGAAGTAATATAACTTTTGGTTTTTATCAGATTTTGGTATATATATATATATGGATATATTTTAAGTTCAATTCAGAACCAGTTGATTGAAAGTTTTTGTAAATAGCAGATTATGATTTTCAAACCCACCATAGGGTACCCCCCCAGTTGCCTTGAGATAGTTTATGCCCCACGAGTATCGGGGACGCCTGAACCATGTGGTGCGAGGATTGCGGCTCAGGCTGACTAATGGTCCCCTGAGACCTGCGAGGAATGCAGCTTGGTTAACTTTGTGTTTCCGAGACCTACGAGGATGCGGCTCGGTTAACTTTGTGTTTCCGAGGCTTGCAAGGATGGAATTGACGAAATATAAGGAATTGACGGATATAAGGAATTGACGGATCAGATATGGGGGTACGCCTAGGTGGAGAGGATTTAAGTTCTGAGATGTTTTTAAAACTAAATTGAGAATTTTATACATTACTATTATTTTCTTAATCGATATACTTATGTCACGAGAGAAAGTTGGATATATATTTATATATATGTTTTAGGTAAGTTTCGACGCAAGAGTTTAAGGGTTTTCGGAACTTATAGATCTTGAACTTATTTTATTTCATCCCATTTTACTTTGGTATGTTTATTCATCTTTATCTTTCATTGTTTTATATAGTATTAAATATCTTAAGTTTTTCTAGCATATTTTGCCCCACGAGTCTCAAAGTTATCCAGACCGTGGGAGCGAGGATTGCGGATCAAGTTGACCAGATGTCTCCTGAGTCCAGTGATGATTTCAAGTTAGGACGTGTCACCTTTGGTGTCACGAGGAATTGATGGTTATGGTTTTGAAAGCATGATTACTTGATATAAATGCTTTTATTTCTTCGTTTAAATTATATGCTGCCGAGTGGGATATCCTTTCTGGATACAGAAAAAGGAAATTCTAGCTAAATATTAGATTAATGGCAGCAGAGTTTGTTTTCATAAATGAATTTATGAAATTCAGTTGCAATATTTGATCTTGAATAAGTTTTATTCACATATTAGTGATTTATAAATTGATAAGTGCTTTTAAATATTTGATTTATATACTGCCGAGTATGATATCCTGTTTGGATATAGGAAAATGAGATTGATTAGTAGATTGATTTATTTGGTTTGTTACGACCTGAGACCTGAATATTATGATTTGCTCTCCCACTTGGCCATGAATATCATATTTGCTCTCCCACTAATCTATTGCCTTAGACAAATATTGGAGATTGTGCTTCACGACAGAGATTTTGTGAAGCGGATCATTGCTCTCAGAGGTGGAGATCGTGATTTGGAGTTAGAGGTGGAGATGGGAACGGCACTTGCCACGGCTAGTCTCTCGGGTAACTAACATCATAGATTGGAGGGCGTACGTCTTACATCTTTAAGTATCGATGGGGACAATTCACAGCTCCGGTCTGCAAAAAATAAAACATTATATTCAGCCTGTAGTTTTTACTTCTGAAAACTTGTAAACAACAATATGGTCAGCTTTATTGGAGAATGTTTGCCTTTGAGTAAGTTAAGAATCATTACTTTTCCCAAACCTGATGTTAAGAAGGTGCCTATACTTCTATTATATATAGCAACTTGTCTAATTTATATTCTATTGAAGGAATTACTTACATCTCAATATCTAACGAAATTGGGTATGTAGTTGTTGCATTAATTTGATGGGATTGCACTGTACACCATTTACTCCTTGGTTGTAATTTAGAGCATTAGAATAACAACAATAAAATTGGATTACAAAAAAAAACAAAACAAAACCTTACTGGGAAATTGGAAATTGTGGATTTGAGGCAAAAAATGAAGTACGTAACTAAACAATTTTTGAAAATTTGAACAAAATACAAAACGAAATTGCAAAATTGGAAAATCGGAAAAATACCTTACTAGGAAATTGCCAAATTCCGAATTTACTCAAATTAGACAAAGATTGAAAATGACAAAATCTGAAGAACAATGAAAATACGGAAACGTTATATGCCCTAAAAACACATACAAAGCACTGCAAATAAAATTGAAAATTTGGGAAAATATGAAAATTTCCATATAGGAAATTGGAACATTGGAAAAAGGATATTAGGCAAATACGAAATAGGAAAATTGGAAACGAGTTGAAATGGAGGAAATGGGAAATAGGAAAATTACCGTACTAGACAATTTGAAAAAGTTGGTAAATTTGGCAAATTCTTTAAATAAAAAAACGGGAAAAGTAGGAAATTGGGAAATTCCTAATTCCTAATATAGGAAAATAGTCATACATGCAATTGGGTAATAACTTCATCCAAATACTCCCGCTAGTGAATCCTGCCAATTACTCCCCCCAATCCCTCCCGCCAACTACTCACTCATTTACTCCAGCTCATTAATACCTCCCTATATTAAACTTCAACCTAACTGCATGAAGAGAAAACTTCCGTTACATTAACTCTTGCTTGCAACCATTACCTTCCCCACTCATTTCACTCACATCACATTAAGTCCCAATTTTCCCCAATTAAGTCCCACACCAACCAATTCATCAAATTTACTAACTGTAGACTTGGTCCATGGACTGCAGCAATGTTGAAGCAATACCATGTTTTGGAAAAATCTCCATGCAGACATAGTTTCAAATTTTTTGGAGGGCCAAGTTAGGTGGGGTGTCACAAAAAAGCGCACAATTCACTCTCGTTATCATGCCCGCATGCATCTCCTACATATAAATGGTATGAAAGCAAAACTTGAAAATGCCCCTGCCATTGCAGTTGTGGTATTCAAGGAATCTGATGAAATGGCTCAGTTGAAGCAAAAACAAGTGGAAACTGAATTTGAATTATTTCGCAAGTTTGCAAAAATAGTGGATTTAAAAGGAAACTGGGACAACATCATTGTGGGTGGGGTCATGAATTTCATGGGTCGCGGTAATCGCAATTGAAGAGTAATCAACTCTGAATGTGTCAACAACAAGAAACTTTTAACACAATAATATGACTTTGGAGACTGTAAAATGTAGTGGAAACAGCCCGTAAAATGGAACTATAAGGTGGCTTCTTTTAGTATTATGTGACTACGGGGTGGCCTTTTGCTGTATTATGTAAGTTTCGAAATTGGATTTGATGGAATTATGATGCCTCTTTTTGTATTTGTGTGTATACAGTTTCCTTTATCCTTGTCCAGTTCAAACGATTATAGCGGCAATAACTCCACAATACCCATGCGTATAATGGCAATACGATATCAATAAGAGCACAATACAGTTACAATAGGATACTATTGCGGTAGGTAATGCATCAGACTCTACCATTTTATTGACTTATACATCCCTTAAAAGACATATGGCCTACATTATACACCTTCAATATGGACTCTACATATACAATTCATGCCTTGCACCACCATCACATCCCCCCCTAAATTACAAAAAATGACACCACAAAACCTCATGCTCCTTCCTCTTCCAACCCTTACTTGGGTAGTGGGATACCCTACAACTCCATAACATAATTGGTAGGGGAGAGTGGTTGTGGAAAGACACAACTTTGTCTCCAACTAATGGTAAGAGCTCAGCTCCTACCCTCACATGACGGACTAGGGGGCTCCTCCCTCTACATATCCACATAATTCAGCTTCTCATTTCGTCGATTGCAACAAGTAGTCACCCTTTATCATGCATCATACCCCAACTTAATAGGGTTGGACCCATTGGAAGACATATATGTCCATGGCGTTCATGAAGCATAACAACTTATCCATGTCCTTCGAGACATAGAAGCATTTATTTCCATTGATCACACTTGGTTACTTATGAAGCTCATTGTCATTGATTCCATTGCTGCATTGTTTCGATCATAGTATGAAACAACACTGGCAGATTCGAAACGCCGGTCTGAAATGTTTTTCAAGATATCCGGGACATTAAAGGCTTTAATAAATAAGTTTTGGGTGGCGGTGGTTGTCACCAACCAAGTGGTGGATTTTATTAGGCCAGATCATGGAATCAATGGGGTGAGGTTGGGAAACTTGGAGTCCTTGCATACATCAGGCAGACAGGTGAGTACCGCTTTGAGACTGGCTTGGGCACATTGCATCTATTCAAGAGTGTTCTTGGCAAGACATGAGGAATCTATTGGGGTTAATAGTCGTAATGCTCCTTCAGCAACTATATCTAGTCAAACACATAGGACATTTCACCTTGTATTTGCCCCACATTTATGCATCGTTTGAATTTGTAATCACAAAAGAAGGTGTAGTAGGAGTATCACGGTAACTGCATAATAATTGCATTGGGAGGTGTCTACAAGAAAATGGAATAGTTGTTCAGTGCACAACGCCAAGAATTCCGCAACAGAATCGTGTGGTTGAGAGAAGAAATCGAACTTTGAAGGACATGGTTCATAGCAAGATTTCCAAAACTGATTTTCCTACGCTTTTTGAGAATAGCGATCAAAACAACAAACTATAGAGTGCCTAGTAACTCCGTACTTAAGACATTTTTTGTCAAAATTTAGACTACCAGAAAGCCTAGCCTGCAACATCTTCATGTATGGGGTTGCAAGGCTAAAGCTTGAATCTATAACCCTCAAGAGAAAAAGCTCGATTCTAAAACGATTAGTTGTCATTTTATAGGTTATCCTGCAATGTCAAAGGGTTTTAGATTTTACTGTCCAAATTATGGTACTCAAATTGTTGAGATTGATCGTTCAGTATGAAGAACTTGTTGATCAACAACAACAAGAACAAACTGCAGAAAATCCTCAAAAAGAAAATTTACCTAAACCAATGTCGTTGAGGAGATCTAATAGACCAAGAAGATCCACAACAATTTCGAATAGATTTTGACATTGGAGATGAGACTGATCAAATAAGTTTTAAAGAAGCTATGGAGAGTCAGAATGCAGACAAATGGAGGGAAGTAATGGTGAATGAACTCAAAAGCATGAAGAATAATCAAGTATGGGAATTAGTTGAACCTCACAAGAGCCATAAATTAGTAGGCTCGAAATGGGTATTCAAAACAAAGAAGGATAAAGATGGAAGAATCGAAAGATTTAAGGCTATATTGGTAACAAAAGGATTCACCCAAAGGGAGGGAATTGACTACATTGAGACGTTTTCTCTAGTTTCCACCAATGATTCTTTCCTTATCATTATGGTTTTGGTGGCACATTGTGACCTACTTTTACATCAAATGGATGTAAAAACTACTTTCCTGAATGGAGAACTTGAAGGGAAAAGAGTTTGCAAAGGAGGGAAAAGAGCATATGGTTTGCAAAATTAAAAAGGCAATTTATGGACTAAAGCAAGCAAGCAGGAGGTGGTATTTCAAATTCCATCAAATTGTTTCATCTTATGGTTTTTAAAGAGAACATAGCCGATCGTTGCATTTATTTGAAGAAGTGTGGGAGCCGATATATTTTTCTTGTGTTGTATGTCGACGATATACTTTTGGCTACAAATGACCACAATTTACTGAAAAGACACTAAGGAGATACTTTGAAATAATTTTAAGATGAAGGATTTGGGAGAAGCCGCTTTTGTGTTAGACATTGAAATTCAGAGAGATCGAGCTCGAGATCTCCTAGGCCTATCATAGAAAACATACATTGAAAGGATACTCAAGCGTTTTAACATGAGTATATGTTCTAGACAGAAAGTTCCGTTAGCTAAAGGAGATTTAAAGAAAGAGCAGTGCGAGTCTATAGTTCGTTTTGTCTAATCGTTTTTCACTGTAGCTTGAAGAAAGGAATTAACTGTTTTAAACTCATGGCCAATAAAGATTATCAAACCTTTTGGAATACAGAAGTTTAGTGCTCTAGTGCTTGATCTGGTGGGAGAATGTTATGTTTCCTAGTTAGATTAGTGCACTAGATACTATGTTATATCAGGTTTTGATAAAAGTTTAAATTAGGTTATACCTTGAGGCCCAAACCTTGTGGAATAAGGAAAGGTTTTGAAGCCTATTAAGGGGTCCTATTTATTTCCTGTTTTGCGTGAACCATTTTGGTGGGCTTGAAAGACTAGTCAAGTCGGCCCTCGATGATGAGTTGAGACGACTTGACCTAGCCCTATATAAGCTTAAGGCCCTGCTCTCATTAGACACGTTCGCTAACCCTAATCTCATCACAAAGAGAGAGCTTAAACAGATTCTGAGAGAGAGCAGAAGTCTTGAGCTGTTCCTGTTCTTGCTGGGATATTGCTGCTGCAGTTGAATGAGTTCAGAGGTCGTATACTCAAGGAAGATGGCACCAAGTATGTCTTTTTATTTTTCAGATTGTGTGAAAGACCTTGAACACACATTTAAATAAATCTAACAGTTACAAAAAATTAGTTGAGACTTACAACCACAATTGAGTCCATTAGGTATCTAGCAAATCAAGGAATGGCTTTTAGAAGCAATGATGAATCTTGTGAGTCATCAAATTGGGGTAATTTCATTGAGTTTATAAAAGCATTTTCAAGAATGAATGTAGAAGTTGAAAAAGTCGTCTGAGATAATGCTCCTGGAAATGTGAAATATATTGCATCAACAATACAAAAGGAGATCCTAAATATTTTTGCCAACAAAGTAAGGAAGAAGATTCGTGAGGAAGTTGGAGAGGATGGAAAATTTTGTATTCTTGTTGATGAAGCACTTGATGAATCTAAAAAGGAACAAATGGATATTAACCTATGATTTATTGGTCGTGATGGGTTTATTAGAGAATGGTTTTTTGAGATTATAAGTCTTCATGATACTAATTCCTCAACTCTTAAAACTGAGATTTGTAAGGTGCTTGGTAAACATTTTAGTTAAAAATATGTGTGGCCAAGGATATGATGGTGCTAGCAATATGCGTGGTTAATAGAATGACTTACAAGCATTGTTTCTAAATGATTGTCCACATGCATATTATATACACTGCTTTGCTCATCGCCTCCAACTAGCATTAAATGCTGCAGCTAAAGAGGTAGGAGTCATTTGGAGATTTTTTTCAATGTTGAATAATATTGTGCATTTTGTTGGTGCTTCTGCTGAACATCATTCTAAGTTGAAATTATATTTAAAAAGCTGAAATTCAAAGGCTGTTAGAGGTTGGAAAACTTGGAATGGGTATAGGGGCTAATCAAATTCGTTGTTTGCAACAACCTGGAACTACTCATTGGGGGTCTCATTTTAAAACTATCAGAAGTTTGATTGATTAATTTGAGGCAACCAAGACACTTCTTGATGAAATAGGTTGTAATGGACCTACATCACAATTTTGTGGGGAAGTTGAGAATATTTATATTGCCATGATGTCATTTGAATTTATTTTTTCCTTACTTTTATTGAAAAAGCTATGGGATTCACAAATTTTCTTTGTCAATTACTTCAAAGAAAATCTAAAGACATTGTAAATACTTTGAATCTTGATTCTAAGTACAAAAATGAAGCTTGACGAGGTGAGAAATAATGGTTGGGATGATTTTATCAAGAGTGTACTATCATTTTATGAACAACATGACATTAGTGTACCTGATATGAGTGCTCATCACAAAATGGGTACAGGTCATTCTTGTCAACAAAAGGATTCTATTACAGTTGAGCATTATTTCCGTATTGATGTATGTAATGATGTAATAGATTTTCAGTTGGTAGATTTAAATACTAGATTTCCAGAGCAAACCGTGAAACTTCTTTATCTTACGTCAACATTAGATCTTCGTAATTCATTTGAGTGGTTTAACATTGGTGATATATGCAATCTTGCTGGGAAGTTTTATCCTCAAGATTTTACTACCACTGAATTGCATGCTTTACATCAATAGTTGGGATTTTTTAAGACTAATATGGATCCTCTTCTAGCCTTCAAGAATCTTGATTATATTCCTGAATTACTTAAGTGATTACTTGAAACAGGGTTAACACACACCTACCACTTGATTGATAGATTGATTCGTTTAGTGTTAACTCTTCTAGTTTCTACACCAACAACAGAACGTGCATTTTCTTCTATGAGATTTATTAAAAATCGACTTCGAAACAGGATAGAGGATAAGTTTCTTGCTAATTGTATGATTCTTCATGTTGAAAAAGAATTTGCTGATAGTATTTATCAGAAGGATTTTTCCCACGAGAATATTCGATTGAAACATTCCCCTTTCTTCTTCGCTGCCTCTTTCTCCCTGCAAAATAGATCAAATGAGAGGACCACATCAGGGGGTTGCTGGCCAAAGGCCCTCCGATGCCTAAGTTAGTTTAATTGATTCGTATAGAAAACAATAGCTAAATAAAGTATGGAGATATATGTGTAAGGTGTAAACCAGGTGGCCGGAGTCGTGAGTGTTGGCCGGAGCCTTGTGTAAAAGGGAGAGAGAGTTGGCGGCTAGGGTTTGTGACGGATAATTTCTGCAGAGTTTCAATAGGAATTTAGACGTACCTCAACCCTTGTGTGTAGCCATCTATTTATAGGGGCCTCAGAGGCTAGGATTTTAGAGGGATAATTCCGTAGATGGAAAGGAATTATTCCTCTCCGATTTGGCGAGATTGGACTAATTAGGGATTTGATTTATTTGATTTAAATCAAATCCCTAATTAAGGTATGAATCAAATCAATCCCAATTTAATTAGGTAACTCCCAATTAAATTGAGTAACCCCCGATTACATTGCGTAACTCTGAATTACGTCAAATAATCCCCAAATGGAAGGAAATATTTGACCTAGGGTTTTGATTTAATTTGGTTCTCACAAATGGCCCCCAGCTTCTGCATGGCGCGTGGTGGCATGTAGGAGATGTAGATTGATTGTTGAGCTATCCAACTGTGTCTGGGCTTCCTTCAGTGAGTTGGACTCTTTTTGTAGATTGGGTTCCTAATTGGAGTGGGCTTTTGACTGTTCTTGGAGTTGGGTTCCCAATAGGAATGGGCTTGTGATTCCTTCTTGACCTAGAATGCCCAACTTGTGTAAATGCAGGGCTTCTCTTCACTCTTCTTCACATCGCAAACTTAACTTCTCTACTTTCTAGCTTGAGAGAGATCTTGGAGAATTTGTACTGCTTGTCGAAGAGAGGAGTCGCCGTGCATCCCAAGGCAAGTCGAGCACGTATATTTCTTTTTCTTTGTCTTTTCTTCTTTTTTTGCTGAGCAGGCTAGTTGGGGGAAGCTCAGCTAGTTGTCGTCGTGACAAGTGACGGTTGGCAGTGGGCAGCAGCTGTGGTGGAGCAGGTGCGCGCAGATGGACCAGCTGCTGCCTATTGTCGCAGGTCTGCGCTGGAACATGCTGGGCCTCATGCGTTGCGGACCACGTCAGCTGAGCGAGTATCGGGATGAGGTTGATGGTCTGCTCCCTGCCCAAGATGTTGAGAGATGGAAGCATAATATTCTAGATTTTGATGATCTGACTGTAGAACAAAAGGAGTGTTCTACCGAACCCCCCCTCAAAGGGGAAGGTTGATGTCAAGTCTTCAAGAAATTGAGTTGCGGCTTCGCAGGCCAAGAATGTATCTTCGTTGAGGAAGAAACCAAGGCTCCATTCTATGCATTTGAAGACGGAGACATCGAGATGCTCTACCCTGACTTGTTCCATGTGCAAGGTGAGCAAGTTAATGCCGTGAACATGAAAGGACCTAAATAGTAAGCTGCCGAAGAGGCGGTAGTAGAAGAGGATAGAGCAAAGGATGCAGTTGATGAGATGGTGGCAGATGTCGCAGAGCACGCATATAGAGCTACTAAAGGCGTGGCTGATCAAATGGATACCGAAGAGGCTTCAAATCAGTGGTCTCCTGCTGGCGTCTCAGACTAGATGAAGACTTCTTTATTTCTTTTTAGCTTTTTTAGTTTGCTTTCCTGTTTAAAATAATTGGTCTTGTTTGACCATCTTCCCTTTGTTGAACTAGGCCGGTTGGTCAACTTGCTATGGAAATTTTAGTTATTTTTTTCAACTTCAATTTGCATATTGACTTGTGAACTGCTTGAGTAACCAACAAGTGTCTTGATCATGTATCTCCCTTAGGACGCTTCTTTGAGGGCAGTGTCTCCCATAGGATGGCTCTGGTCATCGCTCTGCGTCTCCCTTAGAATTCTCCTTATGGGCAACTGTGTGACTATCCTGCTGGCGTGATAAATAACTAACGCACAAATTAAACCCTATAAATCATGCAATCGTAGTACGAGTAAGTAGGGATCGTTCTATTCTGGGGATTAGGAGGGATGCTAATCAACACAAATTAAACTTATTAAACTGGAAACTAAGTTAAGGGAACAATGATTGGGGGGAATTCTGACGATTTAGACTAAAGTAAGACTGACAGCAGCAAACAACTAAGTTGTGAATGAAATATGGATTAAGGGATAGCTAGAGGATTCTTCTCCACACATGGAACATATGCACACAAACCAATCTCCAGTTACTCTTTCTATAAAGTATGAATGACAAAGCCCCAAATTAATTGTGAATGCACTAATTAACTCTCAGATTTTCCTAAGTTCATTGAATTGGACTCAGCGACGCAATCAAATTATCCTTATCAAGTTCCCTATATGAACAGCATGATAGAGATACATATCAAAGATCATTAAGTTCTATGAAAATCATAAGCCTTGACAAGGCAATTGTAACTATAAAAAGCATGATACTCCTGCCAAGAATTTACTTAACGCAATCATGACTAGTGACTTTTACTACTTGTGAATATAAGTTCATAACGATTAGGTGAAATTCCCTTATATTCTAGCATCAAATCCCTGCATACAAACTAAGTATGCATCCTTAATAAACATGCAAGAATAAGTCCTCAATAAAACAGAAAAGTAAATCACATTCATACTTTATGAAACCATAACTGGAAGTAATCAATTCCTGTAAAACATATGTCCATGGCTTCGAATTCACCTCTAACTAAGAAGAAATTCAGTTACACATGTTCATAATAATTGAAAAGCATTCTAGAATAAACATTTGAACTAATCAAGGGAAGAACTCTGAAAAACCCAATGGATGCAGCAGGTTCCGGCTCCAAGTTCTTCTTCTCCCTTTCTCCTTTCTTGCTACGGCACCAAAAGAACCCCCTTCTCCTGAGGCAACCCCTCCTTTATATATGTGGTAGATCTAGGGTAAAAGGGCCTAGCAGAAACCCACGAAATTAGGGTTTTGTTTGGCAGATTTCTTTAGGAATTATAGGGCCCAACAGAAAACCACGAAATTAGGGTTTTTAGGTTTCCTAATCTGAAATTAATCCCCCCCTTTTCCAACTGGAATTTAGGTCAAATAGGATTAGGATAAGGTAAAATAAAATAAAATCAGTTAGGGTTTTTTTACTTCCCAGAAGCTGATTCTTGAATTAATTTCCCCATCTTTTTAGCACATTCCTAGCCTCTTCAAACTTCAAAAACGTCCATCCATCTTGGCACATGCATATGCTATCCATTCCAAGTCCAAAACTGCTCTAAAATGCTCCAAAATGCCCTTTCTTGCCAATCTTGCCATCTGGACCTACAATAGTACAAAATAAGCTAAATCACTCTAATAAATGGAAATTAACTAAGTAAATGCAAAGAAATAAGATAGCAAAGTCGCATAAATATGCTCCTGTCACCTGCCTCCCTTAGGAAACGGATAAAAACCTGGATACCTCCCTCAAGAAACATGGAGACCTCCTTTAGGAAATTTATGGCGCACCCTGCGTCTCCCTGAGAACGCTTCTTTGTAGGTTGCATCTCCCGAAGGACGCTTCTAGTTGTCGCCCTGCATCTCCCTTAGGACACTCCTTATGGGCAACTATTTTTTGAGTGCAAATGAGACATTCTTGAACTTTCAGCAGTTGCTTGTCTTCTTCAGAAATGTGCGGGACTGAGCAGACGGGGGGAAGCGTCACGGATAATACCTTCAGAGATGGTAAGCATTCCATTGTCGTGGACTTTCCTTCCCATCCATGGTGTCTAGTGTGCAGCTTCCTTTGCCCCTGGACCGGATGATCACAGAAGGGCCCTCCCAGTTAGGATTCATCTTTTTTTTATCCTTGTCTTGGTGCAGTGATGAAAGCCTTTCTTAGCACGAGATTGACTGGTTGAAACTGTCTGATCTTGGCTCTTTTGTCATAGTAAGACTTCAACTGTTGTTGAGAGGAGGCGACCCAGATGATGGTCTTCTGGCGCTCGCCCTCAAGTAAGTCAAGGTTGAGCCTCATCTACTCGGAGGTCTTATCAACACTGCCCACCTTAAGGCTTATGATGGGGACTGTGATGTGAGGAGGGATGATAGCTTTTGTCCCATAGGCAAGGGAGAATAGGGATTCACTAGTCGATCTTCGTTTGGTGGTGTGATAAGCCTATAGTACTCTAGGGAGTTCATCCACCCATTTCCCTTCGGAGCCTTCTAGCCTTTTCTTCAAGCAATCTAATCTGACTTTGTTGGATGCCTCGGCCAGTCCTTTTCCTTGTGGATACCTCGAGGTGGACAGGTGTTGCTTGATCTTGTATTTTGCAAAGAGGGCGGTGATTTGCTTGCCAATAAATTGTGAGCCACTGTCGATAACCAGCAACTGTAGGCAGCCAAACCCGCAGATGAAGTTTCTCCAGATGAATCGGTCCACATCGGCTTCTTTGGTAGATCACATTTCTTATATCGCTGGTAGCATCACATTTCTTGACATATTCGGTGGAGTCGTGGCGCATGGTAGGCCAAAAGTAGCCTATGTTTAGAGCCTTCTGGGCGAGTGACTTGCCCCCAGAGTAGTTGCCACACTTGCCATCGTGAATTTTACAAAGAACCTCAAGTGTTTGAGGGTACTTTATGTAGGTGAGATGTGAGCCGGAGTATGCTTTGCAGATGAGCTTATTGCTGTGCATGTAGTATCTCGTGGCCTTTGCTAGGCCTTTCTAGCTTTGGACTTGTCCATTGGCAGATTTCCATTCATCAAGTAGTCGATAATAGGGTCTTGCCAACTGGGGTCCTCGTCAATCTGCATTGTGTCAATTGGCTCTATTTCTTCAATGCTTGGTCGGTCAAGGTGTTCAACTGGGTATCCAGCGCTGACCTTAGGCTTGCCAATACATCTGCATGGCGTTCTCTACCCGGGGCACTTGTTGGATGGTGAAGGTAGGAAACGTCTTTAATAGCTCTTAGACTTTGTCAAGGTACAAGATCATTCTTGGGTGCTTCACCATGCATTCACCTGAGGCTTGCTTCGTGATCAACTGGGAATCTGAGTAGATGGCTAGCTTCTTGATTGTTAGCTCCTTTGCCAAGTGCATGCCAGTGAGCAATGCCTCGTATTCTGCCTCATTATTTGAGGTTGGGAAGACAAGCGTGACAACTTGCTCTGATAGGGTTCCATCCGAGGTGATGATGACTACACCTGCTCCAGCTCCTTTTTGGTTCGACGCTCTGTCTACGCACAACTGCCACATGTCTCTAGGTTGGGCGGGTTCAGCAGAGGTCCATCTGCTTTCAAACTTTCCTTTTTTTTGTTGACCAACTTCTCTTCTTCTACTGGTGGGTTGAATTCTGCAACGAAGTTTACTAAAGCCTGGGCTTTTATTGCAATTTTTGGCTGGTAGAGGAGGTCATATTGGCTTAGCTCTATAGCCCACTTCATGAGTCACTGAGAAGCGTCAGGGCTGTGGAGGATTGATCTCAAAGGAAAGTCGGTCATGACGATGACTCAATGAGCTTGGTAGTAAGGTCACAGCTTTCTCGTAGAAACTACAAGAGCCAAAATGAGCTTCTCCAATTTCGAGTAGCGAGTCTCTGCAAAAGGAGAGCTTTTAACGTGTATAATACCAGATGTTGGGCCCCCAGTTCTTCTCGGATGAGAGCTAAGCTGACAGCCGAGTTGGACACTGCCAGGTACACGAACAAGTCTTCACCAAGAACTGGCTTTGAGAGCAAGGGAGGTCAAGTGAGGTAAGTCTTTAGATTCTGGAAAGCTACTTCGCACTCCTCATCCCATTTGTCTCTTTGTCATTTCTTCAAAGCTTTGAAGAATGGTCTGCACTTGTCGGTATATCTCGAGAGGAATCAGTTGAGGGCCGCTGCTCTGCCCGTCAAACTTTGTATTTCCTTCACTGTGGAAGGTGACTTCATCTTAAGAATGGCTTTGATTTGACGTGGTTGTGCCTTGATACCTTGATGTGGGCCAGATGATACACCAAACGTGCATTTGCTTGGATTCAACTTCATGCGATACTAGCAGATCAGGTTGAATGCCTCGGCGAGGTTTTTGATGTGATCTGCACGTTTTGGGGCTTTGACTAGCATGTCGTCCCCATAGACTTCCACAGTTTTGCCGATCTGCTCCTTAAAGATTTTATTCACAAGCCTCTGGTAGGTTGCTCCGGCGTTCTTCAACCCAAAGGGCATGACCTTGTAGCAGTAGGTTCTTCTCTCGATGATGAATGAGGTCTTTGCCTTGTCATCCTCGTGCATTAGGATCTGATTATAGCCGGAGTAGACGCCTATGAAGCTGAGTAACTGATTTCCAGAAGTGGAATCCATGAGTTCGTCGATTCTTGGAAATGGGAAGTTGTCTTTAAGGCATGCCTTGTTTAGGTCAGTGTAATCGACTGTTTAGGTAGGTGTAATCAACTCAACCTCTCCACTCGCCCTTTTCTTGCTTCACCACTAGAAGAGCATTTGCCAGCCACTCTGAGTAGGAGATCTCTTCGATGAAGCCGGTAGCTAGGAGCTTGTCAATCTCGGCTTCAATGATAGCGACTCGCTCGGGAGCAAAGTTGCATCTCTTCTGTGCCACTGGCTTGCTGGTAGGGTTGACGTGGAGTTAATGACAAATGATGTTTGGGTCGATGCCCGGCATGTCTGACGATGACCATGCGAACATGTCTTTGTTATTTCAAAGGAAGGTGGTCAGCTCCACCTTCTCGTCCGGGCTTAGGCGCGTGCCAATCCATTCTTTTCTGTCTGGCTGGTCAGGATCCAAGGGTATTAGCTTAACGTCCTCTTCGGGTCTCCATCCTTCAGGAGAGACCTCTGGACATATTTCCCTAGCTTAGTCCTGACACTTTAATTGCTATAAATGAGTGAGATTTCGATTGTTCAATTTCCTTCATATCTGCCTGACTCACAGGGAGGAACTGCCTTTGTTTGCTTTTCTGCAGCCCTTGGGCCGAGCACTTTCTTGTCATTACTTGATCGCTATTAATCTGGCCAACACCGCCCCAGGGACTGGGTAGGGGATTTTCTTATGTGTGGCGGAAGTGATGGCATTGATCTTGCCGATCCATGGTCTGCCTAGAATGCCATTGTAGGGTGAGACCTTATTAATGACCATGAATGTCTGTGAGCTGATTAAAGGTGGGAAGTAGACATCGAGGTCTATCGTGCCTACGGTCACCGTTGTTGCACCATTAAAACCGATCAACGATCTGGCTGATTTGTTGCTCTTCGTCCCTAAGCCCATCTGCTGGATGACCGCCATTTGCAAGATATTGGCTGCGCTGCCCTCGTCCTCATGGATTCGGTTGACCATAGCCTAAGCAATTTGAATGCTGATGACAATGACATCGTTATGTGGCATGTCGAGGCCGATCCGGTCTTTCTTTTGGAAGCCAATCATAGGATTGTTTCTAGCTGGTGGGAGGTCGATCGAGATTAGGGGTGGCAATTTCCTACACGACTCGAAACCCGCATGGAAAAAACACGACCTGAACCCGCACAATTAATAATTGGGTAATTTTCGAGTCAACCCATTATGACCTGTTTATTAAACGGGTCGTGTCAACCCGTGTAATACACACCAACCCGCGAAAAAATGAAGTGAAATGGAGACTTCAAAACACACACAAGGGATTTCGAACCCCTACCACCCTCATTCCTCTCCAACACCTTATCCACCATGCTACATACAACTTTGTGATTATTTACTATGCCTTTTGATATTTATAATGTTTCTTTTTCTTTCTTTTCCATCTATCTTCCCCTCTCTCTTTTTTTCTTTCTTTTCCTTCTCTCTTCTCTCCTCTTTTTTTTTCTTTCTTTTCCTTCTCTTTAGTTTTCTCTCCTCTCCTTTTTTTTTAAAAAAATTTCTTTCCTTCTCTACTCTCTCTCTCTCTCTCTCTATTTTTTTTTCTTTTCCTTCTCTCTTCTCTCCTCTCTCTATCTTTTTTTCCCCTTATATTTTCTCTCCTCTCTCCATTTTTTTATTTAAATTTTTTTAGTTGTGAGTTTTGTAACATGCATGTTATTATTTATGAACCCGTTACACGACTCGAAACCCGCACGATAAAAGACAACCCGAACCTAACACGACACGTTAATTAAATGGGTTGGGTTCGGGTTGAGCATTCTTGACACGTTTATTATCTCGACACGACACGAACCCGACACGACAAAACCCATTGCCAGCCCAGACTCTTCTTTTCTTTGTTGGTCAGCCCAGACTCCTCGAAGTCGGCTAGGATTGTGTTAATCCTTATAACTTTATGAGGTGGCTCCTTGGCAGTGTCACGATCCTCAATCTACTAGACGGCCTGCTTCACAACGAATTCCATGCAATGACCTTCTATCACGAGTTCTTCAAGGTGCCCGTGCGTAGTGTGCCCGTGCATCCTATGGAAGGCACGGTACTTTCTAGTATCCCTCTTGTTCAGATCCCATTTAGAGGGTGGCTGCCTTCTTACCCAAGGTTTGTCTTTCACTTGGGCTAAGATTTGATGTATGGGGATGGTGAACTTGGTGTAGTTCTCTCCTGCCGTAGCGTCCCCTTGTGGGTGCGACCTGCACTTGTCCTTGTTCCTGTTGCTAAACCCGTCGCTTCTTTGGCCTGCCTGCTTAGTGGGCTGATCTTCCTGCTTAGTAGAATTCTTTGCAGCGATTCTTTCATCATCCCAAAGTGTGTAGCGTTCCGCGATCTCGAAGACCTCTGCTAGAATCTGGCTGGGAGTGATAGTCAGCTCGCGGTACAAGTCGTGTTCAGCTAGAAGGCCTTTCTTAAAAGTAGAGGACGCGATTCGATCGTCACATCCTACAATGTTGGCCTTTTCTGCTTTGAATCTCTTAATGTAATCTCGAAAGGATTCATCGGACTTCTTGCAAAGATTGTATAGATGGTCAAGGTGCTTCTTGATTTTTCGGTAAGAGATGTATTCTTTGGTGAAGACGTAAGCTAGCTCCTTGAAGCTGCTAATTGACCTGGATGGAAGGGTGTGGAACTAGTCTTGGGTGACCTTTAGCAAGGTCATTGCAAACACCTTGCACATCAGCGCGTTGTTTGCCTTGTAGAGGATCATGACACTTTTGAAGTGTTTTAGGTGGCTCTCTGGATTGGAATCCCGTTTGAAGTGTGTAAATGAGGGTCGACCTTATTAGGAGCCTCCCAAGACTAGGGTCGACACGCAGCCTGCTCGATTTTGGCAGTGAAAGGCCTAGAGTTTGCATGCTCCATTTCTTTACATAGTGCATCTTCGGAATTTCCACCGGTCTTCAAGTCTCGAAGTCTTCCGCGCACATTGTTGGTCGATCATGTTGGCGACCTTCGCGATTTGGGTGATGCTAATTGACTTCTTCGTTGATTTGCGAGGGTCGACCTTCTCGGCTACGCTGCCTAGGCTGCGTATTGGTGGATTGTGCTTGTGAAGGATTTTCTGTAGCTTATTGACGAGAATCAACTCTTCGAGAGTGAGCAACGGAGCGCCTTTCCTCATGGTCCTCATTGTGAGGGTTATCCAGTTGACCTCCTTGGGGGCCTAGCCTTTCGTGAATGCTCCTCTGCGAGTGGACTGCAGAGCACCTTTCTTCACGATCCTCATTGCAATGATTGTCAGGCTGGTATCCCTGGGAGCCTAGCCTTTGATGTACATTTCCCTACGGGCCTGGGTGGGCGCGGATGTCAAGTCGTGGGCCCAACCTTCAACGCACATTGTTCCTTAAACTCAATATGGACGAGTGATCTGCTCTGAGTATGGCTCGCGGATGCTTAAGACATGTCCGCTTACTCCGAAAGACTCTGTGTAGCACGATTGTCCGGCACATGGTCATTATTCCAGAAGACTCTGTGTAGCACGAAGGAGTCAGCATGGTTAGGACTACTTGGTACCCCTTGGTCAAGCCCAAACTGTCGCCTAACCCGATGAGGTGAGTAAGGTACAGAAATCTCCAAGCGGCTGTCTCCAAGAGTAGGCAACGGGATAGGAGTAACGTTCAACAAGGCATACTTTATGAATTGGCCGCCTTGTGACATGGCTGCTGGAACCTCAACAGTATCACTAACATCAGAATAAAAGGGCACAAAGGTGAAGGTCTCTACCAAGGTGCCGTAAGGACGGAAGACAAAGTTCTCAATGGTCGGAGACGACTCCGCAAGAGCTTCCTTAACCAATGTATCAAGGGTGTCGAAGGAGGGAGCCACCACGGGCACAATTTCCATGTTTTGGGCAACATGCCCAATCTGCAAAAAGGTATATATATGTAAGCAAGGATCTGTATGAGATGATTAATAGGTTGTGTGCATTAGCAAAGGAGTAAGAGGAAGGCAGTACCCAAAAAAAAAGGAAGGGGAAGGAAGAAGAATGAGATAAAGAGAATATTCGTAGAGCAGGTACCTCAGGAGCACTTTGTGCAGGGTCAATGATGGCCATAACAAGGTTCGAGTCCTCAGCAATATCGGTAACCTGCAAGATAGGCACGGGTGGTGAGTAGATAGCTTGTGGTGCAAAGAAGGAGACGAGAACAGAATTTAGGATAGGCCAAGTACCAATAGGGCGCACACTGCTACCCGCAGATCCGGAAAAGGTGTTCGAGCTGCCTTGTTCTTCTGTATAATCATCAAAAGGTACGAATGCAACCCCATCATGGTCATAGTTGTCATTCTTATCGGAACCCTCATGCAAGTCACCAATGTTATCAACATCCTCTTGCTCCAGAACGCTAGCCTCAGACTCAGTGGTGTCACCATCATCACTATCATCATCAATTGTCACCACAGTTCTAGTTTCGGAGGCTTCGATATCGCTTGTTCGAGCCCCAGTAAATCTTTCCTGCAAAACACGCATGCTGCGATGTTTTGGAGCGGCATGTGGGGACACGGAGGTTGTGCCACTTCTTTTCCTCTTTGGACTGGTACCCATTTTTCCTATAAAAAAAACATATGTGACAGGTTAAAAAAAATAAAATAAAAAGGGAATAAAGAGAAGGAGAGGTGCGGCAAGAGTTTAAAGGTGAGGTAATACTTATTACGAAGAGGGGTAATTTCCAGCACCTTGCCAGCACGGCCCTGGCTCTTGGAGGCAGTAGGCTTCGAAGGTTGCGGACGCTCTGGAAGAGTTTCTTCTTTAGTTCGAGGAGGACCACTTGGTGCCACCTTTGGGATAAATTTTCTAGCTTTGAGAGCAATCTGCCCCTTCCTTATATCTTGCTTCTCCTCTTGCTTTCGTTTGCCAAACACTGGTGTTGCTTTGTTCCCGGGACTGTAAGGACTCTGTGTTCCAGGCTTTGGGCTCGCTTTGGGAAATTCCCCAACAATGTCACCGCTTTTGGAAATAAAGGGGAGGTTGCGTTTTTGGCTTAGAGGGATGGCTTTCTCCTCCAACACTAAACCTGCAAGGCGAGCTGTTGTATGAGGCAATCTGTCTCCAGGAAAAGATTGGAACTCACGAAAAGAGGCAAGGCAGCGGTTCCAATAGGCTTGGTAACCCGACGGGAAACCACCAACTCTTCCCCGGCTGGCTAAAACAAAGGGCCCGCCATTGTCCAGCACAAGGTCATTACTCCAGAAGACTCTGTGTAGCGCGAAGGGGTCAGCATGGTTAGGACTGCTTGGTACCCCTTGGTCATGCCCAAACTGCCGCCTAACCCGATGAGGTGAGTAAGGTACAGAAATCTCCGAGCGGCTGTCTCCAAGAGTAGGCAACGGGATAGGAGTAACGTTCAACAAGGCATACTTTATGAACTGGCCACCTTGTGACATGGTTGCTAGAACCTCAACAGTATCACTAACATCAGCATAAAAGGGCACAAAGGTGAAGGTCTCTGCCGAGGTGCCGTAAGGACAGAAGACAAAGTTCTCAGTGTTATCCAGCAACACCAGTGAAAGTGAACGCAAATAGACATCTTATCGGATGGTTGTGCTCAACTATGTCGCAAGAAAGATTAAACGGACTAGCTTTGATGTAAATTGAAAGTGAACTTCTAGAAGAAAAAAAACTTGATTATGACCATTTGATTGATGATTTCTCTTTGTTGAGGCCCAAAAATCCAAGGGGCTAAGCCCAAATTAATTCTTAGCCCAACATAGGTAATGGAATGCAAAAGAAACTCAATCGGGACAAAAGAGAATTCGTAGGGTGCACCAATATAAGCTACGAACCACGTATCATGCCAAGCAAGCACGTGCAAAAGGGCTAAGAGGATGCCAACTTTACAAAATCATGCTCACATGCCCGTTCGGTGTTACTTGGCCCGATTATAGCCTATCATGGATAAATAAATTCAAGCACAAGCATAAGCGTCATGCGAGAAGAGATACTATCCTAACACCAAGCCGTGCTACAAGTTTAAGTGGGCCCAAGCCACAAAATTACCTGGGGCTTGCTGAGAAGGTTGTGGTGTGGATGGGTACAAGCAATCACAGGGCCCATTGAGGGTTCGAGGAGTGAGGATTTTAGGCCACTTGGGAGCACTAAAACTCGAGCTCATTCCTCGGGCCCAAATACATGGGTTAGCATGAGAGAGAGAACATAATCCAGTACCTTAGAAAGAGTACAACAACTTGTTCGGGAAACCTTATGATAATTAGAGCACCCAAACACTTTGTCAAAACACTTCTAGCAGCTTGACGAAAGCCCATTAGATGCTGGAGATAATACGCTAATAACCCAACACTGTACACACAAGCCCAGCCCAAAGCCTTATAAAAAAATTTGGCATCGTGCTCCATCATCGTTAGGACTCCAAGATAGTCAAACAAGGAGCCATGGCAAGAACCAGCAAAAATCCATGTGTGAAGGACGAACACCCATCGGACAAAAGCTCTACCCATCTCCTTTTCCATTACAAGCTTCGTTTTGAAAACCAAAAAGGGAAAGCAGGTGGCACCTCACCTTCATGGGGAGGTCCAGCTGCGTCAAACCATGGGAACTACAAAGGGTTCCTTACCCATGCATCTTGAATGGAAGAATTTCACCCAAAAGATTAAGTGGAAAGCAGCAACGAGAAAGGGAGGAAAGGATTAGATGAAATTAGGGTTCTTCGTGCCTATAAAAGAGGGCTTTTGCTACCCAGAAAACCAACCCATTCAGAGGCCTGACCAAGCATCTTCAAGCAACTGAAAATTTACTCAAGCCACCCAATCCTCTTCTATGTTCGTTTTCCTCTTCCCTTAAGGAAGAAATCGTTCTAATCTTCCTTTGCCCACTTCAAAACCCTATTCTTTGTAAGAAATTCATGCTTCTCTCTCTCAAATTGCTAAACTTGTGAAAGCTTAGCTCCCATGCCACAGGCTCCTAAAGTCTCTTCAGACTTTTCAAAAACTCTTTTGGGAGCTTGGTTTCGAACTCAGACACTTGGGGAATTTTGTTTCTCTTTTCTTCTTATGGCAGCCCAAGCCCATTCGTCAAGCTGCTAGAAAAAAAAGACCCCCACACTCTTCTAAAAATTCAAGACGAACAATTTTCAAACATTAGTATTGTACTGGCTGTGTTTTTTTCCTTTTGGGGCAAAAGCTCTCGTAATAGTTTTAATTCTTCATATAAAGACAACAAATACAATGTGAATGATTTTTGGATAGTCAGGTATGTTTTTGTTGTTGCTTTTGTGTTTAATGCAATATAATCTAATTTGTTAATGACTTTGTGTGCAACTACTCTTTAATTTGTGATTGCCAATTTTTGTTTTCCCTATTAAACATATATTGCTTATTGTAGGCAGCAAGGGACCTTATAGGGGCACAAGGAGCACATTTTTGTACCAAACATACTAATATTTAACTTTTTCAAATGGAAACATTTAAATTTTTATGAATTTGATTTCTGATTGTCATTACATGTTTATTGCTGGTGACTTTTAGTTATGGCAAATTTTTATTTATAGTATTTTCGTATTAGATTATGTAGGCCCCTATTTAAGTTTTATAAAGGGCCCTCAAAATCTTAGGGACGACCTTGGTGAAGGTGAGGACATTCTGTAGGTGTGAGCATTCAATAGGCAAATAGACATGCATGCAGAACACAGATGTACGTGGTTTGCCCTAGTGATTGGCCTACGTCCACGGAGAAGTATATTCTCATTATGATAATGTGTGTTTACATTGTACAAGGAGTTAGACCCAAAGATAAGAGGAAGAAGGCCAAAGGTCGAAGGCCGAAAGTCAAGGATCCAAGGACCATCAAATGGGCTCATGGGTTGGCCCATGAGGCCTAAAGAGCAATATGGAGCCCAAGGTGAGATCCGAGTCCAAAAGTCCCCATCCCTTTCTTGGTGGTGAGAGGTCAACTTTTATAAGTGAGGGGTAGTCTCCTCCTCACGTGTTTTGTAGATGTGGGACTCCCTTCCCTTTGCTTAGAATAACTTAGGAGTGCTTGGCTAGATATGGTACAAAAAGGAGTCCTCCAAGTTCCTAATTAAATAGGTACTTTTTGATTGGGGACTTGTAGTCTTCAATGAACTGGTCGAGCAACACTTTAGATTCGCTTCCATGTAGCACAATGCGCCTCCTCCAATCCCCCCAAATGTAGATTGTTGAAGACATCGCGTCGTAGGACTGTTCACCCATTTTGTGTTTGTTCCTGTGATGGTAGGGTAAAGTTTCTCATTGCCTTGAAAACCATTGACTGGCCAACAAGTCAACTTTCTTTAGTGTGCGAGCGTGCCACTGCTAGCAATAACAATTCTAGCAGACTTCTTAAAATAGATAACTTGCACCCTAAGTTTCTGATTTCTAAACAAGCGATCGTGAATTTGGGTGAGGAATATCTCCCCAAGCAAGTTCTTTTCTTGCCTCAGACTGGTGAGGACTTCACAATTTATCTCAGTACAAGATTAGTGGTTCTGGCTAGAATAAATGATAATAAAGTGAACTGTTTTAGGCAGAACTGCCTCTTACAAAACTAGAGAGGGAAAAATCAACTCTAAAAAGACAAAAGGATGATTGAAATTCCATTTCTGCCTGGATAGAAGCTTCTGATTCGGGCTGCACTGGTATGTCTGTGCTAGACTGAACTGTCAATAACTTCAACTGCTTAGCTTCAACTATAAATCGATACCAAAATTTGAATTTGGCAGAGCTTTAATCTATTTCAAGCCCTGGAAGGCTTTTTGAATGGGCAGAACTGCGGCCTTTTCAATTTACAATGGGCAGAAGTGGCTGGACTTGAAGATTTACTAAGCTGGCACTGCACTATGGTACCTGTTTTGCTTGGTCGGGGCTCTCCACAAATTTGTTGAGGTTTTCATATTTGTGAAAACTCAAACTCTACTTGTCTTGGCTTTTGCTGAACCAAATTTGTAACGAGAGAAGTCTCGTTTTGAATGACTTTTTCTCTAAACCTAAACTTGGAAATTCTAAGAGAGGGAGAGAGAGCTTTTGATTATTCCAGTTTGTTTGAAGGTTCTTAGTGATCAAGTGATCATTTTGAGTTTCTTGCCTTTGGCTGATTTTTGGTTGTTTGATTGATTGTTTTTTTGACTTTTTTTGTGTGTCCTTTGCCCTATTCACCCCCCTCTTATATTTATAAGAAGTGCTTTGGAGTAGGGTTTCTTTCTTTTAATAATGGGCAGCAAAATTTTCTCAAAAGATCTTTCATTTTTAAATGTAAAGAAAGAGGGGTTTTATCAATTCTGGCATATAAGCTCTCACTAGTCAGTTCCTTCATATCACTTCCCTGTATTTTTCAAACTGTGATGGTTAGTTTGATCTTCCATTTGAACAACTCCCTGTCCTCCTGCTTATCTCCTTTGAGAACATGGCCTGCTTATCTCTTGGGAGAATCACCCTCTTTGGAGAAAAAACATTATTTCCAAGTATGTAAAAGGGATCTGATCTTCTGATGGCAGAGATTCAAAGAAGTCTTCTCCTAGCCGTCTGCTTTCGTTAATCCTAGTTGAAAATATTGACTTTTATAAGTCAGAAACATCACGTGGGTCTGTTCCTGTTTTGGGTTTCATTCTTTTAATAATGGCAAGCCCAAATTCGAGTTGAACTATGAGCTGATTCCTTTCTTTTCTCTATTTCTTCGAGGCCCAGATTTTGCATTCTTAGATAGCTCCTAAGTTGGGCTTCTTTTAGATGTGGGCCCTTGATTATAATTTGGGTCATGAACTGCCTGGTTTTGTTTTTGTCTCATCCTTCTGGGCCTCCAGTGCTGGGCTGAGTGTGTTTTGGCCCAATTTCACAGAATGCAAGTGGCTGCCCAAAAATTGTCATGGGCTTTTGTTTTTCTTGGGCTGTGTGTCAAATTAGGCCCAAACAATGCCCCCTAAGTCTGAATCGTTTTTGAACGGTTTCAGACTTAATGACTTAGGCCATTAATTTGTGCGCACCAGTTTCTTTTCGTTAACCCACATCTGCCACGTCTTCCGACTGAGCTAGATTTCGTGGAAACTGGGTAGTTATTAGCTTATTACTAGCTAGTCATCATCAAGTGTTGTATCATCTTCTCCTTCCCTGGTTTTCGAACTTTTAAAATAAATCAAACTCAAAGCTTCTGTTCATTTTGAAAACCTAGCTCTCAGACCTTGATTTTCTCAGTGTTGCAGAATTTCCACTCCTTTCTTCGAGTCGACTCTGCCTTTCTTACCTCCTCCTTTGTTCCTAGCTCAAAACTTCTGAACATGTCTTCTCCCAAGACTCGTGCCTAGGGTTAATCCTCCTCAGTTCCTCCTAATTACATCACTAGGGCTGGGATTGACAACCATACCATAGAGGTTAAAAGCAAACTCCACCCTTTTGCCAAGAAGAATCTGGACGAGAATGTCCTTCACCTCTTCGAGAATACTTTGGTCCTGGGACCTCACTGGTTCGGTTCTATTCTGACTGAGATGGCGGAGCTGTTTAAAAAAGATGCTGAACCTCCTCTGTGCTTCCAAAGCACGTCTGCCCTTGCTTTGCACTCCTGGGTTAGTAAGAATTTGAGTCGTTCGTTCCCCTCGAGCGAAGTGAAGAACACTCCTGTGAAGTGGGCTAACTGGATTGACAGGCTACTCCCACGGTATGGAGCTCACTGTAAAATGGCTGGAATTCATGATGCCATCCACCTATCCAAGCAATCTATCAATACGGATGAGAATCTTCTTGATGCCGCTCTGTGTTTTTGGAATTCTGCCAGTAACACTTTCGATTTTCGTGTGGGCCCCATGGCTCCGACTCTGCTGGATATGGTGCAGATCTTTGGGTTCAGGCCCCATGGAAGATCTGTGGATGTAGTAGGTGATTACCATAGGAGAAAGAACCAGGAGAAACTACCCAAGCCTTTCACCATCTCTCCAGCCCTCATCAACCAGAACTGCTCCTTCTCTAATTACTTGAGAAAGTTTAGTGCTGAGAAGGACAAGGATCAGCAACATATGCTTTTCCTTCTGTACTGGCTGAACAGATTTGTCTTTCCAAATCGCTCCTCAGCAGTTTTGCTTGAATACAGACATCTGGCAAAAGTGCTTCACAATCATACTGACGTAGGGCTTGGGCTTACCATTCTGGCTTATCTTTCCAAGAACCTGCACGCCGCCACCCTAGAGAATCCACTAAACTTGTCTGCTCCTGGCACATTTTGGATGATTCAGATCTGGTTGCAGGTCTACTTCCCAGAGCTGAGGTTTCCAGATATAGTTCTGCCCGTGGATCAAGTTTTGGCCCTTCCTCTGATGTCGGCTGAAGTGCCTAAGCGATCAATCTAGGAGTACATGATGTTTTTCAGGGACTGTACAAAAAGGTCAGCAGCTCAGTGGCAGGTGGTGATTAGAAGAACCTATCCTTGGTTCCAGCTTGGATACCAGTTGTTCGAGAATGAGCCAGAGGAGCAATCTGCCATAACAGACTTTAGGAAGAAATTCCCGAGCGTTACCCTGCCGAGAGATCTACCCCATGGAAGATGAAAGCCTCCAAGCTATCATTTGGGGGCAGAAGTCTATCATCCTAACTTCTGTGCCAGACAATTTAGCTGCCTACAGCTCATCCCACCCAAATCCTACAGGAGCTGCAATCGGGCCACTTCCTGGAGAGATGCAGACGACCTGGAAGTGCATAAAGATGCTAGGTGTGCAGTAAATAAGATCAATAACAGCGCAGACGCTCTCTATCCAGCCTAGGAGCCCAATTCCTATAGTTCCGTCGAGTTTGACGCTTGGTGGAAGGCTAGATTTCAAGGCCTGCCTGCCTCCAGTACTGTCCTAAAAATCCTTTTCGATGGCTGGGATTCCTGGGTTGTTCACGCAGGAGAGGAGACTCATAAATTTATGGTGCATACCATAAAAGACATTAATGCTCAATTTATAGAAGGTAAGTTCTTGATTCTGTCTTTGTTTTGCTTATTCTGTCTTTGTGATGATTCCTAATGTTTTTGTTCTACCTGTAACAGATCCTTCTTTGACAGAAAACATAGGAGGGCAGACTGTCCAAGTTGGAGAAGTGATTGGTAAGTCTACTATAATTCTATTTCTTCTATCTTTTCCTGCTGGATTGACTTCTGACTTTGTCTGTTTCTTGCGTAGTCACTTCTGTCATTGCTGCTGGGGATTTGGAGCTTCCTTCTGGGATGAGGAGGATGAAACTCTGGCAGAACAAACTTCTATTAAGGCTACTCCCTCTGTCATAAGGAAAAGAAAGGAGACTGCTTCAGTCCATGATAGTGCTGCTCAACCTGTGACTTCAGGTAAATTCTGGTAGTCTGAGGCTTCCTGTTCTGTTATGTTCAAATCAGCTCGTGTTCTAACGTTTTATTGTCTGCTTTTTGTAGCTGAAAGTCCCCATCCTCCTCTTACTAAGTCAAAGAGACTTAGAAAGAGGATTGTGGTAGAATATGTGGCCATGGAGGAATCTGCAGCAGCTCCCACCAACACCTCTGGGACAAGAAGAAGAAGAAGATGTCCCTTCCAAGGAGAAGAACAAAGAGTCGGAAGAAGAGATGAGCCACTATTTCATCACTATATGTATTTTGGTTGTTTGTTTTCTCTCTTTCTAACTTCTGACTTCTATCTGTTTTTAGGAGGAGATCCCTGCTAAGGTGATAGCAGAGAGCAACACGAAGAAGAAGCTCAGAGGGCGGAACCCACGAGCTTAGAACTGGCTTTATCCGATGATGAGGAGGCAGAACATTCTGCTACAGCTCAAATGCCCATGGAACAGTCAAAATTGTCTGTTTTAGAACAGAAAGAGCAGGCAGATGTTCTTGTTGCAGCCACAGAACCTGAAGTGGAGGCATCTGCTACTGTTCCTGGACTTGTGGTAATTTCCTATTCTAGTTTCACTTCTATCTATTTTCTGCAATTTTGTTCTGTTTAGATCTCTCTAATCATTAGCTTTTCCAGGTAGAAGTGCCCAGGACTACTGGGGTTTTGGGTGTGATGACCAGCCCTCTGAAGCCTCCAATTGTTGTTGTAAGTTTTATTGCATTTCTGGGCTTCTTTCTTTTCCATTTCCAACGGGTTCTGACTTACATTCTTTTCTGCAGATGCCTATCCACTCCCTTCTAGCTTCATCTTCCACCGCCTCTTATGCTGATCTACTCCTGGCAAAGCCAAGTCCAAGGCAGTGGAGGCTATGGAAAGACTGAAGATCTGGCAATTAACTGAGCTGGAGCTGGATGAGGACAGGGAGGTTGTTGACCAATTGATGAAGGATCTGAACCTCCTGCACAGACAAAACATGGCTCCTAAACCCATACTTGAGATGAGCCTTGGCTTGGCAAGAGATGTGCTCAACCTCCACGACCGTTATGAGGATCTCAAGCCCACCTTCAAGACCTCTGAAGCCAACTTGGCTGATTATGCAAAGCAGAAGGCAGAACTGGACCAGATTGTTACAGGGTATAAGAAAGCTAAGGCCACTGCAGACAAGCTGAAGAAGAAGATTGGAGAGCTTCAAAAGCAATTGGCAGAGTGCCAAGAGGTGCAGAACAGACTCGGGGCTGGACTGAGTTCCAAGACCAAGGCCACTTTCCTTGTGCAGAGCATGGTTTCAGCTTCCAGGCCAGCTTTGGAGATTGCAGAGGCTTCAATCCATCAAGGGGTGCTGCTTCAGAAGGAACTCTTTATCAAGAAGGCCAGCTTGCAAGAAACCCTTAGAAAATTAGGGTTTTAATTTTTAAACTAAAAAAATGTAATAAACTTTAGTCATGGAAAATGACTAATATTTAATATTTAATAAAAGTTATTTATTTGTTGCAATTTTCGGATTTTCAATTTCTTTTGATGAAATAACATAGAGTAAAAACAAAAGGGAAATAAACTTTAACAAATTAGACAAAAATAAATTCTGAACAAAACTTTTAAACAATCAATTTCAATCTTGTTTCTTCTCTATCCCAGGATCTGTTTGTGCAGCCTGTGAATCCCACATGGTTGGGTAGAATTTTTTCAACCATTTGCCATTGATTGGTGCAGCATGAACATCTCCATCTGTATGCCCCCATTCCAAGGATTTGCTTAATTATAAAAGGACCTTCCCATGTAGGTGACCACTTTCCATAACCTGCCATATGTGTTCCAAGGGGCAGAACTGCTTTCCAGACTATTTCTCCTTCTTCAAAACTCTTGTTTCTAACTCTTTTGTTGTAGGCTCTTGATACAGCCTGCTTTCTTGCTAAGAGTTTGTTCAGGGTATCAATCTAGCAGCATGGCTTGAGAGTAATCCTCTCTAATCAGATTGTGTTGATGAGCAATTCTGAGAGACTGGACTGCTATCTCCATGGGCAGAATTGCATCATGGCCATAGGTTAGAGCATATGGGGTCATGCCAGTTGCCTCTCTCTTTGAAGTTCTATATGCCCACAAAGTTTCTGACAACTTCTCATGCCACTACTTTGGATTTTTCTCAAGCATTTTTCTGATAATGTTGATAATAACCTTGTTACTTGATTCTGCCTGCCCATTGGCTTGAGCATAATAAGGAGTGGATTAAAGCAGCCTGAATTTGAATGCTTCTGCCATATCTAGCATCTCTCCAGATATGAAAGAATATCCCCTGTCAGTTGTGATTGATTCTGGAATGCCCAACCTTTGTATAATCTGTTCTTCTATGAAAGTGATGATTTCTTGAGATGTAGTGGATTTAATAGGCTTGGCTTCCACCCATTTGGTGAAATACTCTATAGCAACAATGATAGAACAGTGTTGCTTGCTACTGGCTGGATAAATCTTGCCAATGAGATCCATTGCCCATCCTCTAAATGGCTATGGTTTGACTACTGGATTCATGGGAACTGACGAAGCTTGTTGGATTGGGTCGTGCCTTTCACAAGCCTCACATCCCTTGGAATAGTCAATGCAATCCTTTATCATAGTTGGCCAGAAGTAGCCATACCTCCTAATTAACCAGCACATCTTTCTTCCTCCTTGGTGAGCTCCACAGATTCCTTCATGAGTTTCTCCCATGACTTTCATGTATTCTTTCTTTCCAAGGCACCTTAGAAGTACCTCATCCTTGCTTTTACGAACCAAATCTCCATTCCACATAAGGTAATTTAAAGCCATAATTCTGACTCTTTTCTCAGAGGGCAGGGTTGGATGCTGTAAGTAATTTATGATAGGATTTCTCCAATCATCTTCAGTGATTATGGCAGAATTGACATCTATCTCCATTCCTCTGGTCAGAACAAATGGTAGACTCTTCTTTCCTACCTAGATGATCCTTTGCACACAGTCTTCAGGCATTTGTATACCTGTTGCTACCTAAGCCAATTCATTTGCTGCAAAGTTTTCTTCTCTTGGAATATGTTCCCAAGTAGCTTCTCTGAATTCTGTCAAAAGGTTTTTGGCTGCCACTAAATAGATAGCTAAAGAAGGACTCAGGCACTTGTATTCTCCAGCAATTTGTTTTAACACAAGCATAGAATCTCCAATATTTCCACAGATTGGATTCCCAATTCCACTAGTATTTCAAGTCCTATAATTAAAGCTTCATATTCTGCCTTGTTGTTGGTGCACTGGAAAGAATAACAGTGTCTGATCCCTAGTGGTTCTTCTAAAACAATTCCTTCTTCGGAGGCTATGTCTGTCTTTGATCCATCAAAGTACAGTTTCCAAGGTGTGAGGTTAACTGAATAGATGGGATTGTTGAGGCAAGTATGCGCTCTAGTCAACATATCTGCATTTGCTATATCCAAAGAGTCCATATTTTCAATCTCTTCAACTGGATGATCTGCTAACAAATCTGCTACAGCTTGTCCTTTGACAGCTTTCTGAGGAACATATCTGAAGGCAATGATGTAGATGGTGCATGGCAGCATGTAGTGTCCATTTTCCAATTCTGCCTCTCAACATTGGCCTTGTTAACATGTACTTGATTAAATCTGTCTTGGCAATGATGGAGATGGTGTATGGCAGCATGTAGTGTCTGAGTTTCACAGCAGTGAAGTATAAGGCTAGACAAAGCCTTTCAATTGCATAATACTTTCTTTCCACTTCTGTCAGAGTTCTGCTCAGATAGTAGACTGCCTGTTCCTTTCCTTCATTGTTATCCTCAACTAACAGACTCCCAATGGCCACTGATGCATAAACATATAGTTTGAGTGGCCTGCCTCTCTTTGGTGGGGACAGAACTGGTGGATTTGAGAGGTAATGCTTGATTTCCTCAAAGGCTTGTTGATGTTGTTCTTCCCACTTAAACGTTTGCTCTTGCTTCAACCTTAACAAGGAGGAGAAAGGTTGGATTTTTCCTACATAATTGGATATGAATCTCCTTAGAAAATTAATTTTTCCTAGGATACTCTGCAATTCTTTTTTGTTCCGGGGTGGTAGAGCTTCTATGATGGATTTTGCTTTATTTTTGTCAACTTCTATGCCCCTTTGGTGGACTAAGAAACCTAAGAAATTTCCTACCTAAACTCCAAAAACACATTTTCAACTTATGTTGTCTCATTCTCAAGAATATCTTTCTTAGATTTGATACATGATTTCCCATCTCTGGGGATTTAATCACCACATCATCTATATATACTTCCAGAGAATGCCCTATCATATCATGGAAAATAGAATTCATTGCTCTTTCATAAGTGGCTCCTGCATTTCTCAAGCCAAAAGGCATTACAGTATATTCAAAAGCACCTATGTGCCCTGGGCACATGAAGGCTATCTTGTGAATGTCTTCTTCTGCCACCATGATCTAATTATATCCTGCATTACCATCCATAAAAAATAGCATTTGGTTATGGGAAGCTCCATCTACTAGCATGTCTGCCATTGTCATATGATATTCATCCTTGGGAGATGCTTCATTTAGATTCCTATAATCCACACAGATTCTAACTATTCCTGTTTTTCTTTTCATAACTGGTACAATATTAGCTAGCCAATCAGCATAAATGGCAGGTATGATGAATCTTGCTTTGAGCAATCTTTCTATTTCTTCCTTGACCTTCAGTTCTGTATAGACATCCTTCTTTTGGCCTGTTTGACTAGGAGGTAACCTTCTTTAATTGGCAGCTTGTGTTCCACCAACTTTCTATCTAATCTAGGCATCTCATGATAATGCCAAGCAAAACAATCTCTAAAATCATGCAAGAGTGCCATGATTTCACTCTTGAGTGGTTCCTCCAGCAATGCACTAATGAAAGTGGGTCTAGGATCCTCTTCTGTCCCTAAGTTTATTTCATGCAGTGGATCTTCTACTTCTGGTAAAGAATCATATAGCGCTGCTGGTGCAAAATCTAGTACTTCCTCCTGCAAACTCCATTCCTGCTCCTCAATGCTCTCATGGGTGAATTCTGCCATATTGATGGCTGGATCCTGCATAAAGAGCTTCCTTTCTTCCCAATATATCAACAATCTTTTTTTAATGGATCGGATTGTTGCAGCTCGATCCTTCTCTTGCTGATTGGGACTAAACATTAGAGTTCTAGAGGTTTAGAACAAAAGGTCTATTCTAGACCTCTAGAGAAATGGCTAAACCATCTTCAATGAGTCTCTAGGTCGTGACACCATGGGGGCGGCTGTTCTGGTTGACTCCAAGGAAGGTGAAAGGACCAAGATCATCATGATAATACCTTGCCTCAAAACACATGGCAGAGGGCTAATTGTTGATGTAGAGTGGAAGGGACACATAAGCTTTGGTGAATCCAGTCCCTGCCAAGCAATGCATTATAAGTTGTAGAAGTAGTGTCTACCATAAAGAATGCAATCTTTAATTCTTTGGTTCCAACTATGACATCCATATTCAGGATTCCATGAGTCTTGGTGATGCCCCCAGCAAAGTTTGTGACAGTCAAATGTGTTGGAATTAGATCCTTCTCTGTTCTTTCCATCTTGCTCAACAATCTGTGAGGTAAAAGATTAATGGCTGCACCTCCATCTACCATCATTTTGGGAATAGGAATACCTCCAAAGTTTGCTGTTATGAGCAGAGGTCTGAGGTGATTGGCCATATCTTTGGTTGGTTTGGAGAAGCAAAGCTATTCTACAGCCAGTTTCATGGCAGTTCTACCTGTCTTGGTAGTAGGTGTTTGTTATTCTGGTGCTTCTTCTACTTCTTCCAATCTGCACTCAAAGCTTTCATGGGAGAAAACATCTCCTTCTAAAGTGTTTTCTTGCCCTTCTGCTGCCCTGAATTCTTCTGGCAAGATGAAGACCATGTTGATGCCTAGATCACCTTGCAACAGGCTTTCTAGTTCTGCACCAAAAGCCTCAGTTTCTTCATCTAATTCTCCATCGTATTCCATCTGTTCTTCCCCAAATTCTTCTGTCCAATCTTCCTGTTCTCCTATTTCGAGGAGTCCATTCTGGTCATATGCAGATGGTTCATAGTCTAGCTGCTTTTCTTCATACTCTTCAGTCCAGTCTTCTTGTACTTGTGAAGGTTGAAGCTGGTTGGCTGAGGATGAGGTAAGATGGACAGAAGGTCTATTTGAAGATTCTGGCTTCATCAGCTTCTCGGGCGGGGAAGCTGTTTGTTATGCTAGAGGAGGTTCTTCTGGTTTCTTCCCTTTTCTAGCAAAACTGGTTTCTAGAAGTACCAGTGGGTCGTCCCTTTTTTTAGAAATATGCAGTACTGCCTTTAAACCCTCCTCTTCTGAGTTCTGGTAAGTTCCAGAGTTGGTCTATCGCTTTTCCCCACAGAATATCATCTGCCTTCTATGATAGTTGCCAAGGATTTTTCATTCCCACGCATCTTAATGGGTATCTCCTTTTTGGACTGCTCTATCATCCTTCTGCTGCGATGAGCTGGCCTAAGATAGTTCTTCTGTCTGGCTCTGTCTCGAGAAGGAATTGGATCTGGGCCTTGCTAGCGTGAGAAATAACTAACGCACAAATTAAACCCTATAAATCATGCAATCGTAGTACGAGTAAGTAGGGATCGTTCTATTCCGGGGATTAGGAGGGATGCTAATCAACACAAATTAAACTTATTAAACTGGAAACTAAGTTAAGGGAACAATGATTGGGGGGAATTCTGACGATTTAGACTAAAGTAAGACTGACAGCAGCAAACAACTAAGTTGTGAATGAAATATGGATTAAGGGATAGCTAGAGGATTCTTCTCCACACATGGAACATATGCACACAAATCGATCTCCAGTTACTCTTTCTATAAAGTATGAATGACAAAGCCCCAAATTAATTGTGAATGCACTAATTAACTCTCAGATTTTCCTAAGTTCATTGAATTGGACTAAGCGACGCAATCAAATTATCCTTATCAAGTTCCCTATATGAACAGCATGATAGAGATACATATCAAAGATCATTAAGTTCTATGAAAATCATAAGCCTTGACAAGACAATTGTAACTATGAAAAGCATGATACTCCTGCCAAGAATTTACTTAACACAATCATGACTAGTGACTTTTACTACTTGTGAATATAAGTTCATAACGATTAGGTGAAATTCCCTTATATTCTAGCATCAAATCCCTGCATACAAACTAAGTATGCATCCTTAATAAACATGCAAGAATAAGTCCTCAATAAAACAGAAAAGTAAATCACATTCATACTTTATGAAACCATAACTGGAAGTAATCAATTCATGTAAAACATATGTCCATGGCTTCGAATTCACCTCTAACTAAGAAGAAATTCAGTTACACATGTTCATAATAATTGAAAAGCAATATAGAATAAACATTTGAACTAATCAAGGGAAGAACTCTGAAAAACCCAATGGATGCAGCAGGTTCCGGCTCCAAGTTCTTCTTCTCCCTTTCTCCTTTCTTGCTACGGCACCCAAAAGAACTCCCTTCTCCTGCGGCAACCCCTCCTTTATATATGTGATAGATCTAGGGTAAAAGGGCCCAGCAAAAACCCACGAAATTAGGGTTTTGTTTGGAAGATTTCTTTAGGAATAATAGGGCCCAATAGAAACCCACGAAATTAGGGTTTTTAGGTTTCCTAATCTGAAATTAATCCCCCCCTTTTACAGCTGGAATTTAGGTCGAATAGGATTAGGATAAGGTAAAATAAAATAAAATCAGTTAGGGTTTTTTACTTCCCAGAAGCTGATTCTTGAATTAATTTCCCCATCTTTTTAGCACATTCCTAGCCTCTTCGAACTTCAAAAACGTCCATCCATCTTGGCCCATGCATATGCTACCCATTCCAAGTCCAAAACTGCTCTAAAATGCTCCAAAATGCCCTTTCTTGCCAATCTTGCCATCTGGACCTACAATAGTACGAAAATAAGCTAAATCACTCTAATAAATGGGAATTAACTAAGTAAATGCAAAGAAATAAGATAGCAAAGTCGCATAAATATGCTCCTATCAAATTCCCCCACACTTAGCTTCTGCTAGTCCCTAGCAGAACAAAGAAAACAAAACAAAACCTAAACCTTCCAACAATTGCCTCAGGGATTTCCAATGAAACATGACATGTTAAAAATCACTACTCACACAGATTTGAACCATCCTTACCCTCGAGCTCATACTTAATCACAGTAAACACTCACTAGCTCACATTTAATCAATTAAAACAACATTTGAAAGTGGTAACATGCCTTAGAGAATTCACTCAATTCCTCACCCGATATACTCTCTATTTTCACACAGATTTTCTGACCACACTCCCTATACTAAGTATATGTGAGAAGATTGATGTAAATGTGTAGACTAGCACTCACATATGTTATAACAAAGAAAGCACTTTCTGGAATTATTAATACGAACATGTATATGATCTCATGAACAGAATGCTACTACTTAGAAGCGAGAACCAGGGATTCCATAAGCTCATACCAATTTCAAACTCCACATATTGAAACACATAACAATCAAGATAGAAGTCTAAGGGTTGTATTGGGGCTAAGGTATTGGCTAACAAAGAAAGGTTAAGGATAAACAAAGGTTCTTAAAGTAATAGTAAACAGAGCAATGAAATCAACACTTGGAATTCAACTTGTGATTGCAGCACCCAATTTTCCCCCCGTCGGTTCCTGTCTTTGTTGGCAAAGGGGTTGATTCCCCCTCTGCCTCTTCTGCCTCTTGCTGGTGGAAGGAATGGATTGGGATCCATCCTTCTGGGTTTGTAAGGCAACACTGCTGGTGCGTCAGGCAGAAGTGCCAGGGGCTGATCACGTGGAGCCACAGGTTGTCGAATAGGTGGAGGTTCTGGCTGATTTTGAGGAACCTGAATCGGTGCAGGGCCATCTGGCCTGACTGGACCCTCATGCTCTTGGACAGGAAGGACTCCTCCCCTCTGTCCAGCCTAGATCTCTCCATGGCCTGGTATTCCAGCTATCTGTGCAATGGGAGGGTTCTCCTGATATAGCCTTCTTGAACCTGCCTGCTGACTTGCCATTGCATCATGGCAGTCATTTTATTCAGAGCGTCCTGGCTCCTTTGTGCTGTAGCATCCTGTCGGAACACAGCTTCCTGTATTTGATTCAACCTCCTCAAGCCAGCCCTGGAGCGTCTACTTCTGGTACTGCCATGGGCTGATTGCCTAGCATCACTTTCTTCTGACTATAGTCCCTCTCGGAGAGCTGCTTGATCTCTTTCCATTGCGTAGCGTGGGTTCTGGCTAGAACTTCCAATATTCATATACTTTAGGGAACTTCTTTAGGAGTATGTATACTGAGAAGTCCCACTGGGCGTGCCAAATTATTCACCCGTTTTGTGTTTGTTCCTGTGACGGTAGGGTAAAGTTTCTCATTGCCTTGAAAACTATTGACTGGTCAACAAGTCAACTTTCTTTAGTGTGCGAGCGTGCCACTGCTAGCAATAACAATTCTAGCAGACTTCTTAAAATAGATAACTTGCGCCCCAAGTTACTGATTTCTAAACAAGCGATTGTGAATTTGGGTGAGGAATATCTCCCAAGTAAGTTCTTTTCTTGCCTCAGACTGGTAAGGACTTCACAATTTATCTCAGTACAAGATTAGTGGTTCTGGCTAGAATAAATGATAATAAAGTGAACTGTTTTAGGCAGAACTGCCATTTACAAAAACTAGAGAGGGAAAATCAACTCTAAAAAGACAAAAAGATGATTGAAATTCCATTTCTGCCTGGATAGAAGCTTATGATTCGGGCTGCACTGGGTATGTCTGTGCTGGACTGAACTGTCAATAACTTCAACTGCTTAGCTTCAGCTATAAATCGATACCAAAATTTGAATTTGGCATAACTTTAATCCATTTCAAGCCCTGGAAGGCTTTTTGAATGGGCAGAACTGCGGCATTTTCAATCTACAAGGGGCAGAAGTGGCTGGACTTGAAGACTTACTGGCTGGACTGAACTGTCAGTAACGAGAGAAGTCTCGTTTTGAATGACTTTTTCTCTAAGCCTAAACTTGGAAATTCTAAGAGAGAGAGAGAGAGCTTTTGATTACTCCAGTTTGTTTGAAGGTTCTTAGTGATCAAGTGATCATTTTGAGTTTCTTGCCTTTGGCTGATTTTTGGTTGTTTGATTGATTGTTTTTTTGACTTTTTTTGTGTGTCGTTTGCCCTATTCACCCCCTCTTATATTTATAAGAAGTGCTTTGGAGTAGGGTTTCTTTCTTTTAACAATGGGCTGCAAAATTTTCTCAAAAGATCTTTCATTTTTAAATGTAAAGAAAGAGGGGTTTTATTAATTCTGGCAGATAAGCTCTCACTAGTCAGTTCCTTCATATCACTTCCCTGTATTTTTCAAACTGTGATGGTTAGTTTGATCTTCCATTTGAACAACTCCCTGTCCTCCTGCTTATCTCCTTTTGAGAACATGGCCTGCTTATCTCTTGGGAGAATCACCCTCTTTGGAGAAAAAATATTATTTCCAAATATGTAAAAGGGATATGATCTTCTGATGGCAAAGATTCATAGAAGTCTTCTCCTAGCCGTCTGCTTTTGTTAATCCCAGTTGAAAATATTGACTTTTCTAAGTCAGAAACATCACATGGGTCTATTCCTGTTTTGGGTTTCTTTCTTTTAATAATGGCAAGCCCAAATTCGAGTTGAACCATGAGCTGATTCCTTTCTTTTCTCTATTTCTCTGAGGACCAGGTTTTGCGTTCTTAGATAGCTCCTGAGCTGGGCTTCTTTTTGATGTGGGCCCTTGATTATAATTTAGGTCCTGAACTGCCTGGTTTTGTTTTTGTCTCATCCTTTTGGGCCTCTAGTGCTAGGCTGAGTGTGTGTTTTGGCCCAGTTTTAGGGAATGCAGGTGGCTGCCCAAAAATTATCATGGGCTTTTGTTTTCCTTAGTGTGTCAAATTAGGCCCAAACAAGGACGTGGTGCGGCATGGCATCACAACGCACTATAGGGCTTAGTGTCGACAATGCAACTGAATGGAATGGTGCCAATGGCATCCCAATGCTCTATACCAGTGGTGCTGACACTGTCACTTGCCGCACGAGTGGTGATACCAACGACATCATGCGTCATTGGAACGGTGCAGCACACTCCAGCTAATGAGTTGTTGGTGTTGCACATGAGTCGATGACGCTGGTACCGTAGATTCATGTAGTAGATGGAGAAGTGTTACTAAGGTGTCGTTCGGCAGTTGGTGAGGTGTCGTTTGGCAATTGGTGCTATTAGTGAAATGTACAGCCCAAGAAATGTCGTTCGGTAGTGTCATAGGTACTATTTGGAGGCATTTCCTAAGAGCTACCATTCGGTGGGTGCCATTAGTGTCGTAATAGAGAGGTGTCTCCATAAGGTGTCATTCCACAGGAGTCATTGTATGTCCAAGGATGCCGTTCAGTAGTGGAATTAGGGCAGAATTGGAGGCGTAGTCCACAAGGTGCCATTCGAAAAGGCATGGGTATCATTCGGTAGGTGCCTTATGAGCTATCGATTGATTGGGGACTGTCATAGGTGCTATCATTTGGAGCTTCCGTAAGCACTGCCATAAGAGTTATTAATTGGCGTTGCCATAAGAACTGTTGTAGGTTCTACAATTGGAGATGCTTAGATCTTGCCGTTCGGCAAGGTATGTGTGTCATTAGGCAGTTGATGATTGGGCTGCTGATAGGAGTTGTCGTATGTAGTGCGAGCTGTCGATTGGAGTTATGGAGCAATCAAAAACGCATAATGATTAAACCATGGGTATCGATCAGGTGACATAATCTTTTGTGTTGATTCCCACAGACAGCACCAATCTGTTTGTGCTCAAAACTGGATGACCAATAGTGGGCCTAAACTTATAGATGTGATGTGTTGGATCATGGGTGAAGGTGAGGACCTTCAATAAGCATGAGAATTCGGTAGGCAAATAAACATGCATGGAGAATTCAGATGTACGTGGTTCACCCTAATGAATGCGCTACGTCCACAGAGAAGGATATTCTCATTATGATAATGTGTGTTTACATTGTACAAGGGGTTAGACCCAAAGAGAAGAGGAGGAAGGGTGAAGGCAGAAGACCAAGGATCCAAGGACCAAAAAATGGGCTCATGGATTGGGCTATAAGGCCCAATGACCAATATGGAACCCCAAGAGATATCCGAGTCCAAAAGTCCCTGTCCTTTTCTTGGTGGTGAGAGGTCTCCTTTTATAAGTGAGGGGGAATCCCTTCCTCTTGTGTTTTGTTTATGTGGGACTCCATTCCCTTTGCTTGGAATGGCTTGGCAGTGCTTGGCCAGATATGATACAAACATCGCAAAAACTTTCATTTTCAATGTTAGTGGATGACAGTTTTAATCAACATATAAATTGTGATTTTAAAATGGAATTGAATATAAAAGTTTATTCTCAATGTTGTTATATCATGATTAAAGCAAAGACAAACTTCATTCATGTACTTGAAAGTATTGTTCAATACATTCACCAAACAAAAGCAATAATTATAGAATCTCTCAAGTGAAGTACCTAAACTAATAGAGTTCAAAATTGTATAGTAGTGAATAAGGTATCATATGGATATTTTGGCCCGATCTCGGGCCCAGGCGCAAGCACGGCACGATCATGACCCATTTCATTGTGGGCTTGGTAATTTCTTTTTTACACGAACTTGATCCTCTCTATTGAAGAAGCAAGCAATATCCAGAAAGATTTTCTTCATTTTGTGCTTTAATGTGTCCGAACTTATTTCAAGCACATTCATAATGTCTTTTTCAAGATCATCATCAAGTCTATGAAATGCTTCTCACCATTATGTTACGTTTTTCTCCCTCAAATATGAACTAATAACTACAAGAGCTAAAGGAACGTCACCATCATATTCTATAAACTAGCCTCTCCACACGCACTTCTGCGCCTGCGAAAGACTTTTTTTTTTTTATGAAATTTATTTTAGAATTAAAAAAGATAATGGGTAGTTGTGTTCCATAAAAATATGATTCATTATCTGATTTTTATTTTTTTTTAATTTTTTTAATATGAAAAAAATGTGAATTTACCATATTATCCTCATTTAATTAATAATTTTAATTCTTAATGTTTGGATTAGTCAAGGGCATTTTCTAGTATTTTGAATGTTTCACCATTCTCTATCTTTTGCTTTATATATATAGATAAATAAATAAATAAAATTTTGGATACCTCTTTATGATGTGAAGCATCGTTTTCCTTGAAGGCATTTCAATAGAACAGTTGATAATTTTCACTAACCTTCAACTTGTCAACCTTGTATCTATTATCTGCAAGTAGTCCACACGTCTCCAACTCATGCTTATCTCTAATTTCTATAATCACTTGACTCTTTGGACCTAACTAGGACTCATATGTTGAAGTCTTTATTTGATCTACTTTATCCACATTTTCCTTAATGATAAGCACATTTTAATTCCTTTGTCTATCACGTAATAATTGGATCCTCAAATATTTATTTGGATACCTTTATCGCAATACAAGAAGGTTGGAAATAGATATTTCTGTCCAATTTTTTGACTGAGTAAGCAAGTGTTCTTGATATTATGGACGAAATTGAAAGAAATTTGATGGAATTTGTAATGTGTCCTTGAATTATAAGGACGTCAAACTACAAGGGTGAAATTAAAAGAATTGAAAATACAAGGATTGAAGTGAAAAAATTGACAAACTACAGAAACCAAAACTCACTTTTTACCCTTGAAAAATCACGATCATGTTTTCCAACTGGAGGTGGAGCATATTCTTGCGTTTGCTATTCTGGTTGGCACAGTATCTTAAACTTCGTAAGCCCGACCAAGTGCCAACTACCTCTCATATAATGCAGAAAACTTCAAAACCTCAACCAACTAACTTTTTCCACGAACTCTTACAATTCCCACCCGTTTCTCTCAGTCCCACTGGTTCATCACGACACCAAATACGGAAAAAAGGATTAATTTTCTCAAAAAAAAACCCAAGATAAAGATTTCTCATATCCACTCATCTTGTTTTTTTGAGTTTCCCATGGCCTGTGTTGAAATTTGACTTGTTTTTTCATTTGGTCATCGGTTTTTTTGTGAAAAATTCTTGTTTATCACTCCAAAGTTTCAAAAGGACCTTGCTCTTTGCAATTCTCTAGTTCCATGGTGCATGTTGTAGTAGCTTAATCCAACTGTTTTCTGAGATGGGTTCCTTCACAAAGTTCATGGCATCTGCTATTTTCTTCATAATTTTATCATTTTTTCTTGTTCCTACAAGAACCCAAGAAGAAGGATTCATATCTATTGTCGTATCCAGCAAGGGTCTTGAGTTTTCCAAGGACTTGCTAATAGAGCAGGCTGTTTCCTCTATAATCCCCCTTCAACTACCTCAGATTGAAAAGTCTGTGAAAATCCCACTTGTTGGCCAAGTTCATGTTGTTCTATCCAATATCACAATCTATAATGTTGATATTGCTTCTTCATATGTGGAGACTAGTGACTCAGGTATTGCTTTAATTGCTTCAGGAGCCACGGCAAATTTGAGTATGGATTGGTGGTATTCTTATAGCAGTTGGTTATTTGATATTTCAGATAATGTGGATGCCTCCGTTCAGATATATAGAGCAACTTAGAAAGGCTATTCTTTCTTCTTTATAAACTTTTTTGTTCCCTTTTATTTTGCTTTGATCTTGCTTTAATGGCATTTGAATTATGAACCAACACATAGGATTATGGTAGATGAAGCTGTTTTTATCCTTTTTTTTTGGAAATTTGTAGTTCACTTCTAATTAGACTTGACATAGATTTTATGCAACCAATAGGCCTCTGATAAGTTGATAACCCTTTGGCTAGCCATTTTCTGTATTTTCTTTACCTCTTAAGGACAGTGAGAAGTGACCAACGTGGAGTGGCATGAGCTGTCTTGTTTCCTTAGGAAGCCTCATGTTGGTTTCTTTTGTGGAGTTCTAATCAATACGTCCCATAATTTCATATCATAAGTCAATGTAACAGATTTGTAAGTAGAAAATTAAATTATGATACAGTTAAACAAAGTGCAGTTATAGTGAACTTTTTGTGGTCAAACTCTGTAATGTGCTACAGTATGTTATGTGTGTTCCAAGATCATCGAGTCATGAGAAATTTCCATTGAGCTTGAATTGTTGAAAGGAAAGAGGTAGAGGATTGGAATGAATTAAACTAAGATACAATGTTCTTAGCAAACTTAATCTTCTTTCTCCCCAATTTGTTTGATTTTACCTTGTTAAAAATTGGAGCTTCTGAAAAAGGTTGAATGTATGGAAGTGGGTGTTACCTTAGTTTTGAATGGCCAAGAAGGAACTCTTAAGCTGTCTGTTTTGGAATGCGGATGCTATGTGAAAGATATCTCCATTAAGTTAGATGGTGGAGCATCTTGGCTTTACGAAGGGTATGCAATCCTCTTAATCAACTTTGCTATGGGAAAAACTTATGTGCCTCTTTGTTTCTGTCAAAGGTCGTTCCATACCCCTTCCCCTGTTCCCAATTTTTGTAGTTGGATCTGCATCTTTATCAACCAAGGCCACTTAAGGTCCACCCATATGGTTTAAAATCCTTTTTCTGACCCGAAATATTGCAGTTGATCCTCTGACATTCTCTTTTAGGTTAGTGGATGCTTTTGATGGTCAAATAGTTTCTGCAGTTGAAGACAATATTTCCAAGAAAATCAGAGAAGGAATAATGAAGCTTGACTCCTTACTGCAATCACTTTCGAAACAAATTGCATTGGATGACATTGCTGCTTTGAATGTTACATTTGTGGGCAATCCTATATTGAGTAATTCTTCCATTGAATTTCAAATCAAAGGTCTATTCATGGCTCCCAATGATGATTTTGCTTCCAACCTATACAATAAAGGTGCATTAGATCCTGTTCCCTTCAATGCTCCAGCTAAGATGGTTGAGATACCACTACATGAAAATGTCTTTAGTTCAGTGTCCTTAGTTTTCTTCAATGTAAGTTTATTCTTTCACCTCTGTTTTTTTTCAGATAATACTGAACAATAATCATTCATTTATTCCTTTTTTGAAATTCGCTTCATTCTTCTTCCAATAAGGTTATCTATAGTTATCAAACTTCTGTGAACCGAAATCTTACTTCACCATTTCACAACGAACTGACCTGTGCCTGGCCGGATTTGTACCCTTGTAGCTCTACATTTTAGAGTTCAAGTACATAGTGAAACTAAGATATTATTTTTCCCCTTGTATTCGTTTAGGAAAATTATATGCAATGGGTGATCAATAAAACACCAAACCTGTCCCTTTTGAACACTGCTGGATGGAAATACATTGTTCCTCAACTATACAAGCAGTATCCCAATGAAGATATGGAGCTTAATATATATGTATATCTTCTCCACTAATAATGACAGTTGTTAACAATGGCATTAATATCACTGTTTACTCTGATGTGACAATTAGTGTCATGGATGCTGATGAAGTAATACCAGTTGCGTGGATATCATTGGTAATATGCTTCCTTGGAGTGTTTGTATGTCCTCCCATTAGTTTCATGCACATTTATATCACCTTGTTCATTATGATTTTCCATGTGTTTTTTGTTGGTGCAGGAGAATCATGCTTCATGTTCTCCAGATATCATGATAAATAAACTAGCTGATACTATTAAATTGAATCATGTTACTGCATATTTGAAGAGCAAAATTGATAACCTTCACATGCATCTTGTTCAGGTACATTCCTTTGTTTCTTGAAATGATTGTTTTAAGCTTCGACTGCACTTTACAGTGTCCGATTTGGTTCGATTCGGTTTTAAAAAAAAAAATTTCAAAAACTGTCCAGTTTGGGTTGAACTAGTTTCGGTCCACTTCGGTTTTGAACCGGATTATAAAAAATAAAAAATTTAAATTAATTTTTAATACAATTCTCAACTGAAATATTATTATTATTACTTGAAAATTAACAAATTATTCAATTTAATATAAAAATAAATAATTAAAGTTAGAAAAGTGTTCACCCCAACTTTTTTTCTTTTTTTTTTTGTTTCTTTTTTTTTTTTTTTTTTTTCTTTGTGTGACTTCACATAGCATTGTTAATATAGTTTTGTTAACAGAGCCAGCCTGTCGATCATAGTTGAATATAAGCATTTCCTGTTATATCAAGTAGTGTAGAGACATAGTACAAGCTGCAGGTAAATTTTTAGACCTTTTGGTCTTAATTACTTGTTAATGAGCCCCAACTGTGAGTGCTTATGAACCCATATCAACTTGTGGGGCAAATGAGATTTGATATGTTACGCAGAATGTTTATAATTTTTTTTTCAGTGACAAATTTATAAGTTGAATTCTAGTACATAGTCTACAGACTAGAGCCTAGACAACGTTACTTTAAAATGCATTTTTAATGTCAAATTTGTCCCGTGTATTTTTTATGACAACGTATCTGAGGGAAAATTTAATTTATCTTCACCTGTACATTCTCCTCTTAATATAGAGTCATTGCTCCATTTGATATCAATACCATTAAGACTTTTAAACTGTAGGTCGTATTGTCAACAATTCTCAAAACTGTTGTGGTGCCATATGTGAATTTACACATCTGGAAAGGACTACCTTTACCACTTCCTCATGGGTTTACACTACATAATTCTGAAATCGTCTCCATCAATTCAAGGCTTATGATATTCAGCGATGTTGCGATTGCAGAACAATCTCCAACATCAGTAAGCAGAGTGCTAGACAAAATTACCATTGTGGTTGTGAGTTTTCTGGTTTGTGTGATTTGTGCACATTATTACGATTAACTTCTCTATCAAAATAGGGTTTCTGCGTTTGGATGAACTAGGTATTTTGGTGTCTGGTGCATGCACGTCCTCGGTCTTTGACAAAAGTATGAGATATTGAAGAAACAACTTGTTTTTTGGGAATCTGATGTTTTTATTCGAAACCATAAAGTGGGCCAAATGTGATTACAAATTTTCTTAGATTTTCTTAGGTACTTAATAAGCTTGAAATAGTTATGTTTGTCCACTTTGTTTAGCAGTTGGCATGATTTTAAGCATCCTACATACCGATTGCCTAGCACAAATCATTTTTATGTCGTGTTCAAGTCAAACCTTATCAGGTTGGGTTGGTAACAAGTTGACATGATAATAACACATTTAACGAGTTTGACCAGTGTTCATTCTTGAAACATGATAATGACACGTTATCTTTGTGAAATATGTTTTTATCTTTTTTGAAATTTTTTTTTTTTTTTTTTTTTTTTTTTTTTTTTTTTTTTTTTTTTTTGGTGGGAGAAAAAAAAAAAAAAAAAGGTTTTTTTTTTTTTTTTTTTTTTTAAATAAAAACCTTGGACTTATAACTTATTGTCTCTGTATGTTTTTTGGTGAAATATGATTGGGCGTATGTTATGTAATGTGTTTAGCTTCAGTTTTTAAGGTAATATTTGTGTATTTAATATTATTTCACATTTTGGTGTTTGATGACAAAAAATAAAGAGAAACACATAAATGGGTGAAACATGACACGAATGCAAAATTTGTGAATGAGTTTGAGTTCATATATTTGGGCACGATAAGTCAACGAGTTGAGTTTGAGTTGAGCATAATCTTACACGACACGAGAAAATGATACGACTTGAATATGTTAAAAAAACAACACTTGCTGCATTATGTGTTCTTCTTCTATACAGATGTGTTGAATCTTACAGTCAAACTTAATTAATTCTCAAAATGTATATATTGACACCTAGAGATGAGGTTAAGCATAGGATGGTCATCATCACACAGCACACTTGGATCCACAATGATGGGAGACCACCCAGATTTACAAGCCAAGACCGATAGATTCTAAACGGGCTTGCTAGATTCTAAACTACTACGGCTACTCTTGCTTCTGTTAGACGCCCAAAACGCTTCAAACACACGATATTACAACCAAGGAGACCATTTTGCACCAAGGCCCCGAATACGAACACCAACACAAACTACAAGCACAGCAGTGGCAATGCTGATGAGGAGACAAGTCTGAGTAGATACCATGACTCACTTAAGCAACTGGACAAGCTCGACTTCATGAAAGCTGCAAAAATCCTCTTCACTGGTCGACCTTCCAAAAAGAAGTTTGGGTATTGCTTTGCTTTGCATTTTCTGTTTCTTTCATTTGTTCTCTGTGTTGGTTTTGTTTTTGTTCTTAAATCTTGTAGGTTGTTTTTGGTTCTCGTTGGCATTGTATGAAACAAATTTGTGCATGCATGTAGACACTAGACGCTTTGTAGCTGGGAGAATGTTAAAATGAAAATTTTATTGAAATTAGGAGCATGGTGGGTGTTTTAAAGTTTAAGTGAACGAGTGCAAACAAAGGTGGTGTTGAAATATTGAATTTGAAGCCAGTTGCTGAAGCACCTGTTGAGGGTGGTCTTGATTTCTTTGAAGTTGTTCAAGGATAGGAAAATGTTCAAGCAAATGTTCATGTATGTGTAAAATTTAAGAAGGAATGCATTTTAGTCAACCCCAAATAAATCATTCTAATTTTTTGAGTCTTTAATTGTTAGAATTTCCTATTTGGAGTTAAAAGGAAACAAATTTAATGATTAGGTCTTTGGTAATACATAAGTACTGGGAAAGGAACTTTATACACTGTCACTAGTTTTGCAGCAAGCCACTTAATTTTCATCTCTTCTAGGCTAGAATGACCTTATTTGTGACTCTGTGCTCCATATTATTTGCCAAATAAATCATTAGTGAACAAGATTATCTGTACTTTAAATGTGACTGGTATCTGAGACATGTTCTTACCTTTCTCCTTTTCATGGTTAGGCTCGACTTCCATTTGGTACAACTGTTCTTTGCTTGCATGCCTTCCTTGGGTGTGTATCATGTTTCATATTTGATTCTCATGGTTTCACACTACTAACTAAGAACTTATTTTGTGTAACAGCTGTGTATCTAGTGGCTCAATATGCTCGCTGTGAAATCAGAAGAATGGAAGCGGTAACTGAACCAATATGCTTTTGTGCTGATATCTTTAGTGCATGCATATATATTAGTTGCTCTTTATGCTAAGACACAAACACACACACATGTATAACCGTATATATATGCTATCTAAATATTGGATATTTAGAAGATCATGGGTGCATAGTTTTTCCTTAAATTATTGAAAAAGTTAGGTTGTAAAGTTTCTAAGTTCTAACTAACCATGTACAACTTCAACTTTTCTAATCATATGCTATCTAAATATATGGTATCCAATTTGATAAGGGCATATTTGTAAATTGGCCAAGATATGTGTATCGCTAATGTTTATTTCTTTGTTAATCTTGAATCCGATGCTTGCTTTTTGGTTGCCTGCGGTTAAAAACTTTACTGGATTTCTTTTTATTTATTTTCCTCTCCTCACCGAAATCATCATCTCAGGAACCGGAGGAGAAAAAGAAGAATGAAGAAAGAAGAAGCGAAAGCAAAAGAAAAAGAAATAGAACTAAATGCTGCTGAAGAAAAAGAAGTAGAATCTAATCCGGAACTTTTGGAGGTGAGAGTGAGACTACATAAACTTGAAGAAACTCTGAAGGAAATTGTGGTTGAATCAAAGAAGCAAATGAATAGTGGCCAAACAAAAGCGCATGAAGGAGGAAATGAGAAGAAAGTAACAGAAGCAAGTAGCCATAGTAGTTTAGAATCTAGCAAGCCCGTTGAGAAATATCCCCTCAGTAAACAGGATTCTGTAGAACCAAGACCAGCCCTCAGCAGAGAGAGGGCAGTAGGTCAGCAGCCGGTTCCTAATGCTAACTCGCAGGATCAGGAGGGCAAGACCCCAGCTTCTGAAGATGCTGAAAGATGAAGAGAAGTTCTTTCAGTTATTGTCTATAATTTTTAGTGTAGCATAGGCAAGAGGAAACACGTGGATAGAACAAATTGATTTTTAGTTTTGGAGTTTAATACGAACTCAATTGTCTTTTCTTCTTCACCCTTTTCTGCTTGCAACATCCAAGGAAATACTTGTAGAGCTTTTTTCCCAGTCTTGATCACTGTGAGCATCTTGAGAGCAGACTTTTGTTGCAAGATATCGCGTGGCTGTTGATTCTTCAGTGGTATCTGGAGCAGGAAATGCAACTTGCATTGGTCATTTTTGAAACAAATTGGCCTTCCGAAATGCAAGGATGCATCGACTTCAAATTGCCGGTTCTACGTGAACTGGTTGATTTTTTTAACCATCTCCTAACTTAAACAGCCTCATTGTTGTTGAATTATATAGATTGGAATCATGTTGAAAGTTTGGTACTAGAGTTGTAACTTCAGCAACAAGACTCAACCTGAGTTTTGAAGCTATGAGCATTTATCACGGTTATAACTTGCTTTGAAAATTTTCGTTTGATTTTGTGACTTTGCAGGCCTTCCCAAAAGGTTCACCTCTCACTCACACTTGATGTTTCAAGGGTTTCAAGGTTCATCTCAGTTTTAAGAAGCCAAAGCCTTTTCCGTTTTCGCACTTGATATTTTCGTTATTTTACTTATCATGCATTTTGTGTAGTCCATCTGCAGCACAAAGACAGCAGGTGTTAGAATTCTTAGTTTCAGCATTTCATGTTTTGGATATTTTGGGAGCAAAGAAGGGAAAAAAGCACAGAAGAAATGAGAGAACGTTGCTCTGCAGAAAATGAATAATGCTTCTGTGTATTTCATATCAGATTTACTGTTTGGGTATAAATCGATAGGCAGAGAGAAGAAAAAAAGAGATATTCTTCCCTGTACCATATTTACAATAAGCTCAAGTTCTAGCATCCTATTAGATGCTTACACATGTCACTTAATCCTATGCTAGAGATTAAAACACTTGGACTGTGATCCAAGGGTGCACAATAAAGCTGAAGAAAAATAAACAACTAAAGGAAATAAAAAAAACAGAGCAGACACAATTCCTTTAGCTCCAAAAACTCGGCTGAAGGATTACACACCAACATTCCCTTCTAATCCTTTAGCCGACTTAACACCAAGTAATTCCCTTAAGTATGCAAACCTGTCCTTAGGCAAAGCTTTAGTCAGAATATCTGCAATTTGCTCCTCAGTTCTGCAGTAGACAAGTTCTATCTCCTTGGCTTGAATTGCTTCTCGAATGAAATGAAACTTTCTGTTAATGTGCCTTGACTTCTGGTGGAAAACAGGGTTCTTTGCCATAGCAATTGCTGATGTGTTATCACACATTATCTGTGTTCCTTCAATCTGTTCTTCTCCAAAATCTTCAAGTACAAATCTCAGCCACTTTGCTTGAGAAGTAGCCTCTGCAGCACTTATATATTCTGCCTCTGCTGTAGACAAAGCAACAGTATTTTGCTTAATTGAAGCCCACGAAAACACTCCCGATCCCATAGTAAAAACATACCCTGAGGTACTCCTCATGTCATCTTCACTTCCTGCCCAATCACTATCACAATAGCCAATAAGAGTAGTTTCTTTTCCTTTCTCAAATACAATTCCAAAGTCTATTGTTCCTTGAATGTATCTCAATACCCTTTTAGCAGTTCCCATGTGTTTCTTGGTGGGATTGTGCATGAATCTTGCCAAGAGGCTAGCTGCGAACATTATGTCAGGCCTAGTTGCAGTCAAGTAGAGCAAACTGCCCACAATCTGTCTATATTCTCCTTCATCTGCAGCCTCACTTCCATCATTCTTACTTAACTTCTCATTCATTGCAAGTGGTGTAGCCACTATTTTGCAATCTTTCAAACCAAATTTTTCAACCAGCTTCTGTCCATACTTCTTCTGATGCAAGAAAATCCTTTGTTTAGACTGAATCACCCCCATTCCAAGAAAATGGTGTAATACTCCCAAATCTGTCATCTCATAGTGTTCCATCATATCTCTCCTAAATTCTTCAATCATTTGAGAGCTGCTACCCGTGTACACTATGTCATCAACATATAAAGAAACAATAAGAACATCTGAACCTTCTGCCTTAACATATAAAGTTGCCTCACTTGGACTTTTCTTGAAACCGGCCTTGTTGAAATAGGCATCAATCTCGTCATACCAAGCTCTTGGTGCTTGCTTCAAACCATACAAAGCTTTGTGTAACTTGTATACCTTTGTTTCCTCATCCTTCTTTACAAATCCTTGTGGTTGCTCCACATATACTTCCTCTTTTAAAACTCCATTAAGAAATGCAGATTTCACATCTAGTTGATACAAGCTCCATTCCTTATGTGCAGCAAGAGCAATCAAAGTCCTAATGGTGTCTAGCCTTGCCACAGGGGCAAAAGTCTCATTGTAATCAATACCGGGCTTTTGTGAGTAGCCTTTAGCCACTAAACGAGCCTTGTTTTTCTGCACAGTACCATCCAGATTCAGTTTAGTCTTGTAGACCCACTTAACACCAATCACAGGTTTAGCAAATGGTCTCTCGACAAGTTTCCAAGTGTCATTTTTTTCTATCATTTCCAGTTCAGCTTCCATTGCCTTTCTCCATGACTCATCTTGAGCTGCATCTTCATAATTTTCAGGTTCCACAATACACACATTACACTTAGCCATGATTTCACTTACACTTCTCCATTTCTTTGGTGTGTGATCAAAGAAATGAGAACTTTCACCTATGCCTTCATCTTGCAGAGTGGTATCTTCAACTATTTGAGTTTGTGTATCCAAGCTTTGACTTGGTTCAGCTTGTAATGTGACTTCTTCATCCATTTGCAGTGATGTATCCAAGCTTTGACTTGGTTCACAGCTTTGATTCTCAGTAGGCAAAGGGACTACCATTTCTTCTTCATTTGTATTTTCCCACTTCCATAAGCCATTTTCATCAAATTGCACATCTCTGGACAGAATTATCTTCCTAGTACTTGGATCAAACAGCCTATATCCCTTTTCACAGAGACCATAGCCTACAAAATACACTTGTGACTGTTTTCTTCAAGCTTATGCCTCAATGCTGAAGGAATAAGCACATGACAAGGAGATCCAAATATTTTTAAATGTGCAATTCCTGGTTTTCTGCCGGTATAAGCTTCAAATGGTGTTATCTTGTTAAGAGCCTTGGTAGGACATCTATTCAGCAGATAGACTGCTGTATTTACAGCTTCTGCCCAAAACTCATAGGGAACACCTTTCTCATGCAACATGGACTTGGCCATTTCCACTACTGTCCTGTTCTTCCTCTCGGCCACTCCATTTTGCTGTGGAGAATATGCCATAGTTAGCTGCCTTTGAATACCAGATTCCTCACAAAACTTGTTGAATTCTCCAGATAGAAACTCTCCACCCCTGTCACTTCTCAAGCCTTTTATCTTATACCCACTTTGCAGCTCAGTCATAGCTTTGAATTTTCTAAAACATTCCAATGCACTTGACTTATTTCTGATGAAGTACACCCATGACATTCTAGTAAATCATCTGTAAACAGTAGAAAGTACCTGTTTCCAGATAATGATTCTGTTTTCATTGGTCCACAGATGTCTGTGTGAACCAATTCCAAAGGGTTTGAAGCTCTCCAAGTGGATTCCAAAGGGAAAGAATCCCTATGCTGTTTTCCAAGCATACAACCATCACATACGACTGACTTCTGCTCCAAGTGAGGTAAGCCATGAACCATCCCTTGGTTCTCAAGCAATTTTATACTTCTTTCATTTAAATGCCCCAGCCTCTTATGCCATGTCTGCAAGCAATGTGTGACACTTGCTTTTAGGACCAACTCACTCGCAGGCATCATTGTCAATGGAAAGCATCTGTTATTTGTCATCTGCACCTTTACAATCAGATTTTCTAGTGACTGATTGTCATAAACACTCACCACATTTCCTCCAAACACAAGGTGATAGCCATGTTCCATCATTTGCCCAACACTAAGCAAATTTTCTTCAAGGCCAGGTACAAGCATTACTTCATGAATGTGCTTCTTGCCTAACTTAGTTTTTATCACCAAAGTCCCTTTTCCAGCAACTGGGACCATTTCTCCAGTTCCCATCTTCACCTTAGAGCTCGAATTCCTTTGAATATTGACCAAAAGTCCCTCATCTCCTGTCATGTGGTTACTACAACCACTGTCAATATACCAAGAGTGATTTACCTTCACATCAGTTGCAGCATTACACACATAAAACAAAGTGCCACAATCTTCCTCCTGATTTGCATAATTCACTCTCTGCACATTCTTGTGTCCATAGCAATCTCTGATCATATGTCCAGGCTTCCCACAACCATGGCATTTAGGTTTTCCTTCATACCAACATTTTCCATAATGAAATCTGTCACAATGTTTGCAGGCCATTTTGTTTCCATCGTTGGATTTCCAATTTTTCTGAGATATTTGATCTGCAGAAACAATTCCATTTTCAAGGTTTTTCCTACCAACATTCAGACTAGTGAAGGCCTTTTCTGTAGAATTCTCAGTGTGTCTATCCAATCTGAGCTCAAAGCTCTTCAGTGAAGCAACAACCTCTTGAACCTCAAGTGTTTCAAGGTCCTTAGAGTGTTCAATTACAGAGCAGATAGAATCATAAGATTTAGGTAAACTAAACAATAGTTTCTGGACAATTCTCTCTCTAGATAGTTCCTCACCATAACTCTTCATATGATTTACTATATCAAACAACCTAACCAGATATACAGATAAAGATTCACTATCCTTCATGCGGGTATATTCAAATTCCCTACGCAGCCCTTGCAATTTGACATTTCGTACCTGTTTATCTCCTCTGAATTCCAGCTTCAGAATATCCCAAGCCCCCTTCGAAGTTTCCTCATTCACGATCCTTGGAAATAGCTGATCTGAAACAGCACTTTGGATCAATCCAAGTGCACGAGCATCCTTCATCAGAGTCTGAACCACCATAGACTTCTCAGTGTCTACAGCCTCCTCTTTCTCCTTCTTCAGATCTAGGTCACTTAACCCATTCTCGACCAAATCCCATAAACCATGAGATTTCAGAATAGTTTTCATTCTGATACTCCAGAACTCATAATTTTCGCCATTGAAAATTGGAGTTCGCAGCTCAGAGGTACTCGATCCTGCCATATTAGACATTGGATTTGAGAAATCGCGATCTTCAGATGAGCTCAAGTTCTAGCTCAAACAAAACCCTTCCGATTCAACCACAGATTCACTCCCAGCTCAGCAATCGAACCTGGCTCGCGATACCATGTTAGAATTCTTAGTTTCAGCATTTCATGTTTTGGATATTTTGGGAGCAAAGAAGGGAAAAAGCACAGAAGAAATGAGAGAACGTTGCTCTGCAGAAAATGAATAATGCTTCTGTGTATTTCATATCAGATTTACTGTTTGGGTATAAATCGATAGGCAGAGAGAAGAAAAAAAGAGATATTCTTCCCTGTACCATATTTACAATAAGCTCAAGTTCTAGCATCCTATTAGATGCTTACACATGTCACTTAATCCTATGCTAGAGATTAAAACACTTGGACTGTGATCCAAGGGTGCACAATAAAGCTGAAGAAAAATAAACAACTAAAGGAAATAAAAAAAACAGAGCAGACACAATTCCTTTAGCTCCAAAAACTCGGCTGAAGGATTACACACCAACAGCAGGAGCCAACAATTCACAAGTCTTGAGAAGTAGAAGTGAAAATATTGACACCAGGTAATCTCAATGGACAGAAACACCAAGTTCAACAGGCCATCAGACAGAAGTATACATAATTAATTTCAAATGATGGGTATTAATTTGAATGCCTATTAAATGTTATTTATATTTGACATCCATTTACTTTTGAATATATTCATCCAATAAATGGAATACTCATTTCTGACCAAAATATGAATCGTTAATGGGACAGATTCAAATGAATGGCAGAGATTAGAACTCCCTTGATTATGTACAAATTTTGAAGTAAGCAAATCTTATTCTTCAAATTGCCATATAAATTAATTAATCATGGTACAATTTGAAAGAGTGAAATGTGATTATCTCCTAGAATATTTTCATGAAATATGCTAGGCTTACCACATTTTTGTACCACATTATGTACCACCTCTTTAATAGAGGTAGGTCCCATTGTATTGGTGGGCGCTACCTCTATTAGAGAGATGGTATACAGTGTGGTATAAAAATGTGATAAGCCTAGCATTACTTTATTTTCATTGAAAGGGCCTATCGCTTAATGACCCAAAAATAAAAGGAAAAAGAGTAAGAAAGAACAGAGTTTCCAAATTATAAAGAATTTTCTTTGTTAAATCTGAGGGTACAAGAGGCGCACAGAGGGAGTGAGAGAGAATGGAAGGAAAGAGATCATTGGGTTTGGATTTGATTTTGATGTGTGTTTCTGAGTTCGGATTTATCTGTGGGTTTTATCGCAGGGAGAGAACGCGGCAGTGAGAAATTGAAAGTCCAGCATCAACCGTCCGATTAAAACTAAAACAAACACACAATATTGAAAGTTCACCGTCCCATTTTATTGGACGGCTCTCTTTAAAAGCCATTTTTCAAGGGTTTAAGCTGTTGAAAAACATCTTGCACCTTTAGCTTGAGGTATAAATACAGGTCAGAACACTGAACCGCGGCTCGGTGCCTGTCGATCTGCCTTTACCAAGAGAAGGAAGAGAAGCCTCTCCGCCATCAAAATGGTATCTTCAATTTCTCTTTCTCCCTCTTTTGCGTTGGTTAAAATGGTTATAAACATGTAGATGTATGCCTGTACACACATTGATATATACACATAATTATGCACATACTGAAATTTAAGTGCTTGTTCTGGTAGTTTATGCGTGAATCGATCCATGTAGTGAAATGGGTTTTCTTCAATTTTTCTTCTTTGGGTTTTGTTGGACGGTGGCAAAGCTATTTTTGTTGAGATACGTTGGCACCTGGAATGAAGATTTAAGTGCTATTTGAGCATTCCCGTCTTGATCTATTTCTGTATGTGCATAGTTGACTGTGTTTTTGGAATAAAAAATGAAGATACATAGATTTCTGAAAAGGCTTAGATGAGGTGCATTTTGGGTATGGGTTGATTGAAGCATAATCCAATAGTAATTATAAAAGAAGGGAGTCTTTAGTGTCTTTTTTGACTGCAAGTGTGAATGAAAATTCAAAGTTTAGGTGGAGAGAATGAAGGTAATGTTCAGAGGATGGTGGATGAGGTTAAGTGGAATATCTTTGAATAATTTAAAAATCCATATTTAGATAAATGAATGTTTTTTTGACAATTCCTGTTTTCACTTAAAATGATAATTCATAGTATTGTAATTTGGTTTAGTGGTTCTGTTCTTAGATTCCAGTCCTTGTTTTCATGTCACTACTGCTTCCAACTTAAAGCATTTTTTATATGGCTGGTTCCAACAGTTTTTTAAACTCTGGATTTAATTCTAGTAAGATTGTCTTGAAGCCTCAACAGAAATGTTAAATAGAATTTCATTTTGTTGCCCATCATATCCTGATTACAGTACATCAATCTTAGTGCATTCATATCATGACTAAAGTCCTGTATTATGTTTTCTGGGGCCTTGTTACTTTTAATTTGATGCCTTTTAGATCCTTTTGAAATATTCAGTTTTTATTCTGTTACATTTTGTTAAGGTTGGCTTCTATGGTTATGATTTTCCATCTTGTTTGCTGAGATTGGATCCTTTATTGTTTTATGTTTTCTTTTTTGGTGCTAAGATTTCCTGTTTGTTGTTTTCTCCACAGCCTAAGCAAATCCATGAGATTAAAGATTTCCTTCTCACTGCAAGAAGGAAAGACGCACGCTCGGTGAAAATCAAGAGGAGCAAGGATGCGGTGAAGTTCAAGGTCCGTTGCTCGAAGTACCTCTACACGCTTTGTGTTTTTGACACAGAGAAGGCTGACAAGTTGAAGCAGTCTCTTCCTCCAGGTAAATTGTTATGGAAACACTATTATCTGTATAGAAGAAAGCAATGATGCTATTGCATGTCCTTAAAGTTATTAGGTTTTCTGTGTTAGTTTAAAGTAATTTAGGCCTCTAGATATCAACTGGGTTCTTCACAAACCTGTATGATATTTCCACAAAATTAATTGTGCAAATGCTGTTGCATGGGCTGTGAAAGTACGTTTGTGCAAGCATATAGTTCTCTAGATGTGTTTTCAAGTCGCCCCATTCTTTCTTTTCACTTGTCAGGATGCAAGTAATGTCATTTATTGTTGGGAGTGTTTTTTTTTATAACCTAGTTTGTTGTTAAATGACTTAGGCAACTTTGAATGTTTATGTTTACTTTATTTGATGTAATGTACTTGGTTTTTTGTTCAATTTGTTGTGGCTGATTAAAGGAATGAAAATTTTATTTTCATGTTTGCAGGTTTAAGTGTGCAAGACCTGTGAACTGGAATACCCTGATCTTGTCAGATGGTTTCTGGGAGTTGAGATTTGGAAAACTTATCTTTTATCGTAGAAATGAAAATACTGTTGTAATGAATTGTAATTGCATGCTGCAATTGTTTGGTGGATAGTCTTTTTCAATTATGGCTATTTAGACATGTTTCATCGCTATGCAATTACCGGTTTTGATGAGTGTTTCTACTGTTTGTTTAGTTTGATACGTTGATGCTGAAATTGATTTCATTGCCAAGCCTTAATTCATTGCCGTGCCAAATCACTTGAATATTGTATTTAAATGTAGTTTCATCTTAACCAATATTAAAACATGTTGCAAATGTTAATCAGTTGTTATGCGTATTGTGTTGTCTATTAGTTTTGTACTTACAGTGGCAGCGCTTGAGATTTGTTTAGATGTTTGGGTATGGAGAAAAACTTGTACATTACCGTCTTAACAACATGATTGATTGGGAATAGCAAAATAGTGCTATTCCCATGCCGTACAAGTTTTTTTTCTTTCCCAAATATGCTATTAGAAGTAAAAATTAGTAAAGGTTTTCGACCGAAATGGTCTCCCAACTATTGCTCCATTTTGGTCCACCAACTAAAATTTTCTTTTCAGTAGTCCAACTCTCTATTTAGTATAAAATTGATCATACCATCAATGTCTTGTCAATTTTGCCGTTAAATTGAGGGGTAAAATTGTTCATATGAACTAAAATATTAAGAAAGTACTGCCACCACTCACCAGCCACCACCACCACTCCAATCCCAATCGCACCTAATTCATACAGCCACTCTCTCTCTTTCTCACTGCGACCACCACCTCCTCTCCCACCAAAAGCTTCTCAAGATACCCCACCTCTCTCTCTTATCCCACCCCTAGGCTTAGCCCCGACACTCACAAAAGCCCACCTTACCAAGTAGCAGAGGTACATGGGGACCAGTGCAGTCATTGGCCCCCACTGAAGTTTAATTATAAAAAAATAAAGTACTAGTAATCAACCCAATTTCCTCTAAGCTAAAAGTCCTTTACTATATGGGCCATATCCAGTAGCCAAAAGTAGTATTCAGCCAAAACTATCGGCCAGACTATAATGAGGGGTAAGTTATAAGGGGTAAGTTATAAGGGGTTCACTTTATAGTCATTGGATCAATCGAAGGGCTGGGGAGAATTGGGATAAAGTTGTGCAATCGGGTAGGTGAGGAACCCAAACCCGAATTTAATATCCAGCAATGAAGTTGGTCCCAACAAAAAAAAAAAGAGAGGCAAGTTCGAAGTTTGAACAGAAAAAACCCATTGATCTCAAACTCATAGCTGAGAGAAACTGCTAAGCTCTGAGAAACGGTTGAAGGCAACGGGCAACGACGGTTGAAGGCAACGGGCAACGACGGTTGAAGGCAAAGGTTAACGACGGTTGAACGCAACTCCACTATCTAAACCGTGAAAAAGTATTTATTTTGAGTGGAAGGAGCAAAGGCGTGGATTCTGAAACAGTGAAGACGAAGCAGTGGAAGGGGAAGGAGAGAAGCCGTATTCGTTGGAAGTGATAGGTTCCATTTGTGGAGCAAAGCCACACAAAGACCCAACACAGACACCTTGCGATTGTTCAATAACCAGCATTTGGTGAGTAATTTATGGAATTTGAGTTTAGGGTTAGAGTAACCGTTTTCCCCAATTTGTAGCATGAATGTTGTTAGATTTGGCATCTCTTCTTTGTGCTTCACTTGCATGTTAATTTTTGCTTGGGTATATGTTAAAAAACGAATGAATATAAAGTCAATAACATGTCAATAACATGTCAATAATGATATGAATAAGGTAATGGTGTTGAATTGGAGGAGGCCCTCAAAACCTTCCACATTTGAAGCAGTGCAGAGTGCAGATTATCTCTCTGGAGCTAGAATATATATAATTTTTGAAATAAATATTATTTCCGTTGTTACTAAATTTGCCTGTTAAAAATGAGAACAGATAATAATAAACTCATGAATAAAAGTGCAAAGCATTTGAAAAAAGGTTGATCTATGACGATTATGGCTGACTGAAGAAAAAGCTAGAAAGAAAGAAGGATGTGGCAATGGCTTAGCGAGCAGATAGCAGAGCAGATGCTTTGCTTTGCTTCCTTCCACCATCTTTCTCATTTATTTATTTATTTATTTTGTGTTGTGTATGAAATGACAATAATTGTCATGTGTGTGAAGTGCAGAACTTGCCTAGATTGCACTCACACTCACTCATGCATCAACCATTGATTGGAGTTTGGATCCATAAATAAAACACATGCTAGTGCTTGTAATTCACAGAATCATTGCATTAACAGGTATTTGCACAAAATATGTCATATTGCTTTGATGATGTTAAAGCCTGTGATCAGTAATCCCTATGCGCATGTACTTTGTAAAATTTGTAATGTGCTGGTTGACTAGTTGTGTAAATACCAATGTGATTGTGCAAATACGTGGTAGTATATGTGTTCACGTTATTTCATCTTGTATTTCAGGAAATGGGATCCAACGTTGAGCTGGTATGGCCAGAGTCAGAGGCATATTCCTCACGGGTGAACAACTGCTCACATGCAAATTCATCCCTAGCTGTAATTCGAGCGAAGTTGAGTGCCGAACAATTAGAACAATTCAAGACATCATGCTTTGGCCATCTTCTGAATATAGATAAGATTCAGTTTAGCGGGCAGATTGTGCATGGGGTTGTGTTGCGTAGAGTAGCGGGGCAGGGTGTGAAAGACTTGGATGGACTGAGTTTCTTAATAGGGTGCGACGTTGCTCAGTTCACTCGTCAGGATTTCTGTTTGATCTCAGGGCTTCGTTTTGGGGAAGTGCCTGAAGTTTCCAGTGGAGAAAGTGATGAAATTAGACTTCAGAAAAGATATTTTATAGACGAAGGAATTACATGTAATGCTTTAGAAGAAGCATTTGTGAGGTGCACAGAGGAAGATGACGTCTACAAGCTAGCTCTTGTTTACTTTGCTGAGTTAGTGGTTTTGGGAAGGGACAAACATTTGAACATCAATCTAAATTACCTGACCCTTGTAGAGGACTTGGATGCGTTCAACAGGTTTCCATGGGGTTCGGTGTCGTTTGACAAAACCCAAGACAGTCTGTTTTCTGCACCAACAAAGTATGTGAAAAGCTTTGAAAATGAAGAGGGAAGAGGGAAGGGGAAATGTAAGGTAACCGGAACAAGCCGGAGAAATGAGAAGGGCAAGAAGGATAACCATGGTGAAGTGCAAAGGGGTGGCTGGAGTTTTAAAGGTTTCACGTATGCTTTCCAGGTACATGGTAATAATGTTCATGTCGTTATGTTCTGTTGACTTTAAAACTTAAATAATAACTTGTGTCCTGTGAATTGTGTAGATTTGGGTATATGAATTAATTCCTAGAATGGTGGACCTGAATTACTGCAAGGTTGTTGATCCGACAGCTCTCCCGCGTATTTTGCGATGGAGAACTACTACGTCTGTTCCCGAGATGAGAAAGTTGAACAATTATTTTTTCCAGAGCAAAGAGGTTTGGTTTGCAGCCCTTGGAACTATTTATAAGATTCAATGAAATTATGAAGTAGAATGATTGCATATGACTCTTGTCTGTTTTCTGAAACAGTCAGTTCAGTTGCGGGCGCTATGTCCAAGTGAAGAGGAAATGAGACAACCATATTGGAGTTGGCCACAGGGTCGCCCTGCTGTTGTCTCGGCAGAGTCAATTCCTTCTTCATGTGCTGACCTTGATGAGTTGAACAAGGCGGTAAGCTTGTTGAGGTCCGAGTTGTTTCAAGTAAAGCGGGAAAAGGACGTCCTTGAGTTAAAGGTCATACGGATGGAAAAAAATTTGGGCCACTGTTTAGGTCCTCATTTTGAGCAGGAAGTGAGAAGGGACATAGCTTTACTGAAAGAGAGGACGAATCGTTGTGTCGTGTCACATCTATTTAAGGGATATGAGGAAGTGGATGGCATGCAATGGGATGAAGGGCCAAGTAATAGAAATGAAGGAGAGGCAAATGAAGAGGAGGACATTGAAGGGGGTGAAGGGCCAAATAACAGAAATGAGGGAGAGGACAAGGAAGAGGAGGGGATTGAAAGGGGTGAAGGGGCAAGTAAGACAAATGAGGGAGAGGAAAAGGAAGAGGAGGGGATTGAAGGGGGTGAAGTGCCAAGTAAGAGAAATGAGGGAGAGGAAAAGGAAGAGAAGGGGATTGAAGGAGGCCAAGTGCAAAGAAAACCAAGGGAGGTAGAGGAAGCTCAAAGGAAAAGAAGTGAGGGAGAGCAAGTGAAAATAAAAAGCAGCAAAGGAGAGGAAGCGCAAAGAAAGAGCATTGAGGGAGAGGAAGAACTGCAAAGAAAAAGCAGTGAGGGAGAGGAAAAAAAAAAAAAAAAAAAAAAAGGGGCAAGGAAGTGAAAAGACAGAGAAGTGAGGAAAAGGAAGTGCAAAGAAACCAATGTGAGGAAGAGGATGATGAAGTTATGTTGGTTGGCGATGACATTGGCGAGAGCACGGAGGGGACAAAGGTTGAGGTTACTGTCGGGGACATTGATTTGGATCAACCTAGAGCTGTGTTATCTCAGTTGAACGTTTGGTTGAATGATGAAGGTCAAGGTGTGGAACGAGGGGTCCAATTACGGAAGAGGAAGAGGATTATTCCTATGTGGAAGATCGTTGAAGCTAGTGAAGTGGTTAAAAAAATTTGCCAAAGACAACCGGACTTCGGACGTTAGACCCAATGAAGGCGATTCCGCATGATGATATGGTGAAATTGCTGAAACTTTGTTCGGAATGGCGCCATAACCCAAAGTAAGTCCTTTGTTTTTTGAGATAGAAGGCATGAGTGTATATATTTTGTAATTGTTGTGTTCTAAAACTTTTTTATATTCATAGTTTGGTGATGCAATTTGGCAACGTGGAAGCTGAGATTGAATTCTTCGCTTCCCTCGTCAAAGCTGACGGCTGGCTGAAAGGAGATGTAAGTTTAATTGATTATGCATTTGTTTGAATGTGCATAGATAATGAGATTGACAAGGAAAACATGTGCAGCACATTGATTTGGGCTTGTATCTCATCCGGAAGCGACAACAACAGTTGGAGGAAGTAGAAATATCGGATTGGACAACGACCGATGTATTTTTTATGGTATGTGATGCAGGATGCATAGGACCTAAATTGTTTAGTTTCCTAATTATTGGTTAGTTTCCTATATTCTTTAGTTTTCCAAATCCTAGTAGGATTTCTAAGTTAGTTTTCCAAATCCTATTAGGATTTCTAAGTTTCCTATTTTATTAGGAATAGGATTTCTGTTTTACCTGGGGATTTTAATTCTATTCTCTCTAGGTTTTAGTTTGCTATAAATACCCCTGTGTAGTTCTTTACAATTCAGATTTGAATATTGATTAAACATTCCTTTAAACTCTCTGATTTCTGCCTGCCTTCTACCTTTTCTTCCCTTCAGCTTTTCTTATCTGTTATGTCTTATTGCTCTAAGTGTTTAAACTAACACACCCAGGGCTGTGCTACATCAGTATGGCATAGGCCTTGACCAAGTGCAGTTAATAATTACAAATTATCCATACTTGCTTTGTGGAGTTGTTTAACCATTGATTGTTTTCTATTTCACAGAATCACATCCATACTTGCTTTGCGGATAATAAAAGGAAAAAAGAGCAAGTTGGGTGGAAAATTAGAACCAGTTTAGTGAACGTTGTAAATGGCAAGGTTCCGGCTTGTGGATTGGATTGGCAGAACACGTATAAGGTGTATGTACCTTGTATGTTGCAAAAATATAAGCATTGGGTGGCTCTAGAGATTGATCTGATTCAGTGTGAAATCAAAGTCTACGATTCAATGGTTTCACTCATTCCAGATCAGAGCTTAAAGGAAGAACTCGGCCCCCTGTCAATTACGATTCCAAATCTTCTGCACACCCTCGACTTTTATGAAGAAGGTGTTTACGCGAACGAGTGCACCCGAGATTGGTGGTGTCCATGGCCAATACATCGTGTGGATGTTCCACAACAGGCTAATCAGTGAGCACAACTTTTTATTTAATTTTATTACTTTAATTTGTCAATTATGTTAGAATGTCATTAGTTGAATTGATCGAGTTCTTGTTTTGCTTCAGAGGCGATTGTGGTATGTTCGTGTTGAAGTACATTGAGCTGTTGAGTGCTGAGATTTCCTTAGCTACTTGCACCTCGCAGAACATGCCATTTTTTCGGTTGAAGTTGGCTGCAGAAATTGCACGGGGAGATGCTTACATGCCATGATATCGGTTGAACTTGGTTTAGGCACATGATGATGAAATAGGTTTTGGGAATGTCAAATTTCAAAGTCATGTAAATACACAATAGAGACCCATGGGTCCTTTTCGAATTCCACCTCTGCTCCTGAATTCTTCTTCGTCTTTCTCAATCTTAGTGTATTTGTGTACAGAAATTTAGATTTAAGTTACTGGACAATAACAATTAGAACCAAAATAGTGGCAAATATTATAGCGGATGCATGCTTTCATTTTGATTAGTGTGATATTACGCTATGTGTATTCTCATATTGTGCAAAATGTATATGGAGCTGGTTGCAGAGCATAGAAAAATGAAGACTCTGAAATGGAGATGCTGAGGGTTGGAGAGGAGAAAAGTAACTGGATCTGTAAATCTATTGCACGTGGGCAATCTAAATGGATAGGCAGATGCGTTTTTGAAGTTAGACACATGCCATTCCCATACATAGAATGTGCATATGGAGTGTAAAGTTTTTTTTGATGTAATGAAACAAACATCGGTGTAATATTGGCCTAACTCCTTCACGACATTTACCTAACCTCAACCAAACTGCATTGAATTGGGATTTGAAGACTGCATATGTGAATTTGGATTTGAAGAATGCATATTCACATACGGACTGATGGCTTTTTAAGTGTATTACATCATTGCAAAGTGATATGTCATCATTTATCCAAGCCACCATTCCAAATATCAGATCCCAATCTTTAAGCCGTTCAACATGCCTTGACTTAATCGCAATGGGTTGCATCTTAAGGTAATTCTGTAAGGGGAATAGGCTGCTATGGCCTCGCCTCCAATATTTTATTCAACCATGCCCTCCTTATAGAAACACATGAAAAAATGTCCCCAGGTGCAATGCTCTAAAAACTCCCTATTGGTTCCGCACTGCCCCTCGGGTTTGAATCCCTCTCTCCTTTATAATCGGTTAATAAATTGGTTGATTTTCTTTATTTTATTGGTTTTGGGCAGCTGAGTAACATAACAGTAATGTATATTGGTGCGTCTATATTGCATGTCTGTTGGGTCTATATTGCTTGTCTATTGCGTGCATATCTTTACATTTTTTGCGTCTGTATTGATTTGTATTGCTTACGACGGAAATAAATAACAATACACAGGCAACAGACAAGCAATATACACGCAATAGATATGAAATATACACGCAATAGACATGCAATATACATCAGTCCCCAATTACATCAACCATAAGGAAGTCGTATTGAATAGGAAATTCTACTTAAGTTGTTCTTCCTACGAAAACAAAGAATAAGGACCGTTTCCCCCCTTAAATCTAACTGGAGTCCTACTTTTGCCCCCAATAAACTTGCAATATTGGAGCAATAACATGCGATATACATGCAGTAAACACTCAATCAACTTTCAATAAACCTTCAATATCGGTTCAATAACATGTGAAATACATGCAGTTAACAATCATGAAACCTTCACGAAACATGTAAACAATCAATAAACCTTCAATAAACACTCAATATCGGAGTAATAACATGCGAAATACATGCAGTTAATGAACCTTCAATAAACAGTCAATATCATGCGATTTACATGCAGTAAACAATCAATAAACAATCTATATACACTGAATAATTATGCAATCTTAAAAAAAAGGTATTGTCTTATTATTGCATCGTATTGGCCCTGTATTGTCATTTTATCGTCTTCGTCTGACTTTATTTTGTAAAGTAACTGTAGGAAAGTTTTTACTGGGTTTCTGACAAGTAAATGCTTTTGTTTCAAACAATAATTTAAACTCAATGCTAATCCACCTATTTCAATAACAAAAATTACAAATTGAGTTTGAAAAGTCATTGGTGGTGCGTGCAACATGTGTTTTTGGGGAGAACTTTTACAATCCTTGAAACCGTGCACTTAATTGGTCATTAAAAGAACAAATAATATGACAATTGATACAACTAATAAAACTAATACCAAGTCCTTAATGGACTTCAGCATATTAAGCACTGTAGCATCATACGTGTCAGCTTGCTGATCTGCTTCAGCGGAGGTTACATCAACCCATTCGAATCCATTGCAGCTGGTGGCTCCCTAATTGCAGGCATCATATATGCAAAATAATTTTGTCAGAGTTAGACCTAGGATTTTTTTTCACCCACATACATATTCTGGAAATGAGAACTTACATAGGAGGTTAGACACTTCCAAAATGCCTTCCCGCGATTTTTATCTGATTTTGAAACCCGAAGCACCATTGCCGCTCCACAATACTGACACCTCTTTGTTTGAGCGGGAGATGAAGACGAAGACATGTTGAATCTTATCACTTGTACCTCTTCTCACTCAGATCTTCTCACTAAAACCTCTTCGGACTCATACCTTCTGAGTTATACCCCTTCACTCATAAGTCATAACCCTAAACTTCTCACTCAGCTCTCTCTCATCTCTGCCCAAATCGAATTATATCCTTCTTTTCTGTGTGTGGGTGGGTTGGTCACGATCTGGACACCTGTACCGTCAGAATTGTGACACATTTTACTCCGATAAGCGATATACTATTTCACAAACAATAATTAATCTTACAATTGAGGGGACACTGCTTTAAATATATTATTTTCTTTATATTGCATTAAGGCAACTAGTTGGATAAGAATCCGTCATTTAATAGGGGTAGTGTGGTGTGGGAAAATGAAAAAGTATCTGATGGGACCTTCTGTCACTAGTCAGTAATCCATCACATTTGTATCAATGAATTTAATGGCGGGAAAAGCCTAACAATGGCTATGGAAATAGGTTATTAATTGACTTTTGGACGGTCTGACTCCCTTTGCATTTTGATGACGTTTTCCCTTCGCCTGTCTTATGTTTTGGGTGTTGAGTTCAGTTTCTTTAAAAAGTGTCAACTTGGTAAAACCCCAAGGAAACACCTTTTCAGAACAGTGCAACCAGAGGCTAAAACAAACCCAAAACCCCGTATATTCTCATTTCTCCCCTCTTGCAGTCCTCAAATCGTTCCATTCCAAAAATATTTCAATGAATTCCAAACATTACACTACAGTCGGAGGAAAGAGAAGGAAGCATCGCGATCCGGATGTGCCTCAAGCCTTCATCCCGGAATTAGCTTGGTTTAAAGTGATGTTATACGTGGCAACCAACTCATCGGAAGATCTCTTTCGTATGGCATGTGTGTGCCGATTGTTCAATACGTTGGCAAACACTCCACAAGTGTGGAACACAATTTCAATGGAAAAGTACCGAGACCATCCTAACTGGTACTATGCCGCAGAGCAGGTCCGGCATTTCGTGGGACCAATGCAGGGCTTGCCAGAACCCTGAGGCGATATTTAGAGAAGCGTTCGACATGTTTTTCAGGCAGGGTAATGTGGAAGCATTGTCTGGGATGCGCGTTGCAGCCACGGCAGGCCATATGGAAGCGTCATATCTAGTTGGACTACTTGGCATGTCCGGAATTGGTCAGTCAAAAGAGGATGCATTGGAATTCTTGTGTTCTTTGAATCAACGTAACAACATTGATATGAAAGGAACCAGGGATGCTTTGAGACGACGATTAAGCGGAATTTTCTCTGTTGGAAGACATATCGTAGATATGTTTCACTATGGGAAGATTAAGTTCAATCAGTGCAGCGCTTGTAACAACAACGACTGGTGTTTTGTTATTCCAGGCTGGCCTAGTGAAGAAAAGATCAATCCTGCCTTCTGGACTTGTTGCAATCGATGCAAATGGCACCGTGAGAGTGTTTTTTGGTTCAAGGTGATGCGTGTCTATGTTGTGCCAGGGAATCCATACCCTTATAATTAGTTGGAGTATGTTTCTACGGTTTTTATGCGTGTCTATGTTCTACACATGTTGTTTTCTATTTCATGTTTTAATCTATTTTGTCTGGTGTTTGTGCTGTCCTAGCCCGTTTTATATATAAATGTATAATATTTGCTATATAGTGGAATTATTACTGACATAATTGACGGCTAAGAATGACATTTTACTGACACAGATATTTTGTACAACTGCAATCTTAATATTTGGTAAACGAAAACGCATGCATGAAGTGAGTATGTGTCTTTTCACCGGTTCTTGGGAATGACATTTTCCCACTTAGCATATCCCAAATGATTGGGTTACACGTTTCTTAAGCAAAACTTGAACAGTTAAAGACTTTGAATAATTATTTCCTGATGTTGTAGAATGGATGGCTTGTATATTTCCATTTTATGTTTGAAAACATCCCTTACACCTAAAAAAGAAAAAACATTAACAAATTGAAGAAGAGAGAAACTGATTAGCACCAGAAATGGTCTATTCACACGGAAAATAAAAATAAAATTACAAATTTGGAGTAAATATAATTAACAAATGTACAAGCTAACAAGTAATATAACAATAATAATAAAAATAATTTTGGATAAATAATAATAAAATACTAATGTAGCGTAACCATGAAACAGGGAATTGAGGAGGAAGATGAAGTGTGAATGAGGTTGTAGCAATTTTCAGAACATTATTGTGATTTTGTGTATTTAGTTATGAATTTTCTAAGAAAAAGTCATAAAATAATAATTTAGGGTAAAAGGTAAGGATGTGGCCATGTTGACTGATGCACACTTGTCAAGGGGTGAAAGGTGAGGGGCTGAGATCGCGCCAGGTGTCCATGTGGCAATTATTTTGGCTTTTTTGTGCAAAAATCTTTGAAAAAATGCAATAAATAGTAGAAAAATCCTAAAAATGCCCCGAAAAATACTCCGGCCTCCGTGTGACGTTATAAAACGAGGGGAACCCATAGATCATCCATTTCGCAATTAAAAATTCAAAAATGATTTACATAACTCACTTTCCTCTTAACCCTAAGTATATATGTTGTTCACTTTAAGTTCAATAACCTACTTCAACAAGCATCTCCCGTTAATGTTCGGAATTGTTTTTTAAAATGCGTAACCACTAATCGGGGAATTCAGCAAGGGAGATGGAGTGTGAATGAGGTTGTAGCAATTTTCGGAACATTATTGTGATTTTTGTGTATTTAGTTATGAATTTTCTAAGAAAAAGTCATAAAATAATAATTTAGGGTAAAAGGTAAGGATGTGGCCATGTTGACTGATGCACACTTGTCAAGGGGTGAAAGGTGAGGGGCTGAGATCGCGCCAGGTGTCCATGTGGCAATTATTTTGGCTTTTTTTGTGCAAAAATCTTTGAAAAAATGCAATAAATAGTAGAAAAATCCTAAAAATGCCCCGAAAAATACTCCGGCCTCCGTGTGACGTTATAAAACGAGGGGAACCCATAGATCATCCATTTCGCAATTAAAAATTCAAAAATGATTTACATAACTCACTTTCCTCTTAACCCTAAGTATATATGTTGTTCACTTTAAGTTCAATAACCTACTTCAACAAGCATCTCCCGTTAATGTTCGGAATTGTTTTTTAAAATGCGTAACCACTAATCGGGGAATTCAGCAAGGGAGATGGAGTGTGAATGAGGTCGTAGCAATTTTCGGAACATTATTGTGATTTTTGTGTATTTAGTTATGAATTTTCTAAGAAAAAGTCATAAAATAATAATTTAGGGTAAAAGGTAAGGATGTGGCCATGTTGACTGACGCACACCTGTCAAGGGGTGAAAGGTGAGGGGCTGAGATCGCGCCAGGTGTCCATTTGGCAATTATTTTGGCTTTTTTAGTGCAAAAATCTTTGAAAAAATGCAATACATAGTAGAAAAATCCTAAAAATGCCCCGAAAAATACTCCGGCCTCCGTGTGACGTTATAAAACGAGGGGAACCCATAGATCATCCATTTCGCAATTAAAAATTCAAAAATGATTTACATAACTCACTTTCCTCTTAACCCTAAGTATATATGTTGTTCACTTTAACAAGTATATTTCCTTAATATTCGTTATATAATTTGTACTAATACAAGAATTAGTTTCCTTTCATATATAAGGATGTAAAATTATCTGTTTTGGTTATAATAATGTACATATATAATAAATGCACCACTACTTGGAAGCCATAATTGGAACTGCGCATGCGCCTAGAGCTTTGAAGACGTCAGATATAGTCAATAAGTTGTCCATATGCACCTGCACCTAGAGTTTTCAACACGTCGGCGGTATTCAATAAGTTGTCCTTATGACGCCGCATTGGGAATCAGTAATATATTTTCTATCATGTCCAATCGCATAAACATATAATATAAAGAAATAAAGCAATAGTAGGAGATGAACCAGTACAAAAAACAATATATAACTGGTACAAAATAATGCCATAACCTTGTCACAAAACCAGTCACACATGCTTTTCCATAAACCTTACCCTAACATATAATACATAAAGGCAACATTGCATATGATGCAACCATGTCCAAATCTGATACGTGATCACAAAAAAATGGACATGGCAGCAACATATGACTGAAGTAGATGGGCACTTTGCATCGTGTTATCGTAATTAAAGACATGAAAATATGAAGGTTGAAATCTTCTATAGTAGTAAGCATCAAAATAGGTTTGAAGCAGAGCTTAACGAAAATTCCAGTTCCTCTGATTTGCCTCTACTCAAACACGATAACCAAAATGGTCACTTCCCTTGCTGAGTATATTTGTTAACGTCGGAAACGGTAATAGATGACCAATCAAACCCGGGTACGACGAGTTTTGCATAGGACCGGAAGTAGTCGAATCCAGCTTGCATCACACGCTTCTTTGACTCCTTTGCATTAGATGAGTTCTTGTATTTTTGAACAGCTACACTCCGAAGTCGTTTGTGTCTACGCTTCATGCGCTGCAACTTCGCCCTATCCAGATTGGCCTGCCTTTTGTCATCTTCAATTTGGCCTTCAACAAATTCCAAACGTACCCTTGCCCTTTGGATTTCATCACCAAGTTGAAGATGCCTCTCCTTCCAGAAAGCAAGAACTCTTTCAGACTCAAAACTTCCAACAAAATGGTCATTCTGTCTAGGAAAGTGACATTGCTTGTCTGGTGACTCACTTGCGTTTCGAAGGCGGTCTTTGTTTGGAGGGGTGTTTATTACGCTCACATCAAACTTGGTTAGTAAATCCATTAAATGGGGGGAGAGAGTTTCTGTGGAGGAGAGAGTTTCAGTAGATGGAGACACATTCGGTGGAGGAGTGAGTTTTTTGTGGAGGGAGAATTTTTATGAAGGGGGTGATAGTAATACCAATAAAAAAGGGTTCCCGCCAAAAAAAACATTTGGTTGACAATGTATAAATGAAAAAAGGTCTCATACAAGCTAAGTTTAATCCTAACTAGTTTGTTTAGTTTGGTTGGGTTCACTAACTAGATGTCACTTCCATTGAGTTTCTTTCAACCACTAACAGTGGTGTAAGGAGAGTGTGAGGTTGACATGCTTGAAAAGCAAAACCTGACACCTGTTTTTTTAAAATTGAAATAAAGTAGATATGTTGACTACACGCAAGCTTTGGTCTGTTGGTCTATAAAGCTATGTTCCATTTCTCAAACGAAATTGCATCTGCAATCCTCATCCTCCAAAACAAATAGGATTATTCAAGTATGTCAACCTCTTCAGGCGCCAACAACACAATCGAAGATGAAAAATTGGAGTCGCAGGTTCCGTTTCCACGTTGTACTCGCCGACCCCTTCCATTTTCAACATCATTTGGGAGTGAGGGGGACTCCGATGATCCATTAGAGGCAATAGATGCTGTCAGTACCAAGCTGGATTATAATTCCAGACTGATCAATTCATGGCACGAGAAATGTGTTGAAGACGAGGCCATTTTGGCTGATCTTAACATTAGAGTGAACAAAGCGTTCTCCCAAAAGAACAAGTACTTGAAGCTGAGTCATAAAAGGAAGCTGAAAGCTGAGGAGTTGGATGCAGTAATGAATGATGAAATTAAAGGTTGTTTGATGAACCATATGCGATGCGAAGAGCACCACAGTGAACTGGAGTTGGCATTCAACGAAGGATTCGAAAAATTCCGAGCATTCGCGGCAACAACTCATACAAGTTATAATTGGGACTATGTGTCCCCTGATGCTGTGAGAGAGATACTAGACGATGGTGGTGACATGAATGAGCATAAGCACGTCAAAGCTGCTCGGAAGAAGCCGACCGATACGGCTAAGTGATTGCGGCTACAGCTGTTCTGTTGGTTGGGGGTGATCGTGGTATTGCACAAATTAGAACTATGTTCCCTTAATGTCATTATCTAATATAAAATAATACAAATATCAGTTTCATTTGCTTCATATATAATTATTGGGACTATGTCTTGCAAGTCATCATGTGTTCCTTCTGTCTAACATTATATTTTGCAACTATGGAAATATTAT